AAGAACAGAAAAGGGCGGAGTGGGTGGGTTCTTTTGGGCACGGCCGATCGGCTCGTGCCAAAATGGCCACGGATAAATGGCCTCAGGGCAGTTCTTACGATCGCAAAACTGATCCCCCAATTCCAGACCTACCTAGCCGATAATTAGGAGACATATGTATGTGTGTATATATATATATCTGCATGTGCTGCGCCCCTCTGCGGTACCCAGGTTTTCGTCTTTATGCTGATGCTTTTCTTAAGCGGGCCGAGGGGTGGGCCATTCCGCAAACATGAGTTAGCCATGAACTGTGGACGTTGTGTCAAAAGTGCCGACAGCAACCTATATGTTTGCTTGAGCATCATGAGCAACCACGAAAAGGCTGCAAGTACATGCGCATACAGAAAGAAACAACGAATGGCATAGGAAAAAATGTGTTGTCTAAGATGGCGGTGGTCGCGAGGAGGCGACATACAGTAGCGAGCGAGTGTGACGAAACTGCGGGCGCATGGCGAAGCAGGCCTGACTGCGTAGTATTACACTCTAGGTTCTATGTTTCGTTGTTTGTTAGTCGATGTTAGTTGTTTTTCTTGTTCAGGGCCAGCTAATTTCGACATGTTTAGCCTGAGTTTAGTTCATCTTAAGTGTGTGCATAAAAATCCTGGGATTTGCAGTCTTTTCACAATGTTCGTCGAAATTTTGCGCCTAACAAATGATGATCTTTTTGACAATTATGTATGCCAGAATCCTGGTGCAAATGACAGTCTGTTGATTAAGGGCTCTTTCTTGTAAGCACAGAAAACCACACCAAAAAATGCATAAACACAACGTCTAAAGCTCCCCACGCAAACACCAAGCGACATGTCACATAAGTAAAAATACCTTTTTACATTTATCTTTGGAAGTGTGCGATTAAACCAACATAAGCATGCTCGTAGAGAAACAGTTTTCCTATAGTAAAGCATTGAATCGCAGGCATGAAGTATAGCTCTGTACGTGATAAATAGAAATAACCCATGAACTGGTGTTCGCACAGTAACGTCTTCAAGCAGAGGTTATTACTTACAGTAGTTTCGTGGTGGGCAATCTACTCAGTTTTATCAAGGATGCGACTACCTTACCGGCCCATTTTGCGAACACACACACACACACATCGCATGAGCACATACGATGTGCTCAATCTCAACTTTCGGGAACACCGTCTTGAAATACTTACCCGTGGAGAATGTTGGCGAAACCAACACTTTCAACCATCTCCATGAACTTGGAGAAACCCGGAGCCATAGTTTCGGGAAACATAGCAATTGTTGGGAATGTTGGAAAAACCAACACTTCCACGATTCCCCACAGACAAATCATGGAACATGTTAGTTTTAGCAACATTTCCAACAGCTCCCATGAATTTGGAGAAGCCTCGGGAGCAAACACCATACTAACCTCTGAATTTAGAACCAGAAGTACACCAAACCCTAAACTTAGAATCCTCGGGAGCTAGAGTATAGTAAACAAAAACACGCTTTCCCAGAAATGCAACAACCAACAACTGACTTGAACAGGAGAGAACCTAGGTGCCGGGGGGGGGGGTGGAGCTGGGGTATCATATAGTCGCTCATTCGCTCATTTCGGGCGTAAGATCCGTACACGGTTGCAACCCATTGGATGCAAACTCACTCATTGTAGAACATAGCACATTACATAATAACAGACTATCTCATAACATATTAGAACTCATGAAAGGATAGTGTCAGAATATCGGAAAAGGGCGTGCAGAATCACCGAAGAAGCTTAAACAGCACAAGACGTTTGCAAACACCGAAGAGCCCGGTCCACCAGGGCGCTCCCTGCCGTAATACTATATGATACTGATACAGTCTGATATAAGAAAGGGTGGTTTAGGTAAGTCTGCTATAGTATAGTACAAACAATACAATACAATTAAATTCAATAGAGCATAATACAACATGATGCAACCTCATAGAACATAGTATAGTGCGGTACAGTGCATTATAGTATAATGCGAAACAACATGACGCAACACAACACAACATATAATGAAAAAACACAATATAGTACAAAGGTAGTACAACTTGAGAAAACTTTGGATATAAAGTGTGGCTTTGTCCTGGTTCAGACATCCGAGGTCCGTTTACAATGATTGTTGTGTTAGTCCCCTCGCCTGTTTCTTCGCATCCTGCAGTGGTCGGGTGAAACCAGGACATACAGTGCGCTGCATAGTAGTTCTGTCAACAAGTGCATTTCTGCATGCTGAACCATTTGATCTTTGCATGCTGACATTCGTCATCATGGCGGCTGCATGGTGGGAAGCGGGATGGGGCCGATGAGGAAACCTTGAAGCCAGCTTTAGTGTAGCATCTTCGTGCCTTCTCGTTGGTCTCCAATACACTCAGGTTTCTCTTGGAAAACGAGAATCCCTAAGCCTTTGCCCTGGTGCCCGCGGTCAACCTTCACCTGCCCGATTGTGAGCTCCTGCTTTTCAAAGTTGGCATACACGTAGCCTGTAACCATGTTTGTCGTTTGTGACAGGGCGGTTAGTGTGAGCGAGGAGGGCTTGAAAGCGCTTGCCAGCTCCTCAATACACGCGACATGCTTGTCCTCGGCCTTGTCATCCACTGCCACACCGACTAGAGTTGCTGCGTCCTTTGCAGTGAGGTTTTCGCACCAAGGCATTTCTGAATGCAGGTGTGCATGGTCCACTGCAAACTCTCTTTCTGAACGTGGCAAGCGCTTGGTGCAGCCCTTTACAGACTCACTCGCACACCCTGTATTCCTGATTTTCGACCACGTGTTGTGCTGAGACTTTTCGATAATGGGTTCGTGCATATTCTCTTACTGACATTCAATCATGGCCAAGCGGCTCCTTGCTGCGGCAGAAGGACACGAGCTCTGAGGTGTTGGCGAAGGTCGTGGGCGCTTCCTAGTCCGGCACGCGCCGGCTCTGGGCTTTCAGGAGCTCGCGTGGTGTCTGGTTATTTCGCTTGGACCTGACCAGCACTGAGGCCCCATGCTCGATAAGGACGTTCACCACATCCATGGGTGAATGTTTAATACCATAGAATAAGGCCGTCTCCCTCCAACTGTCACGCCAGTTGACATGGTATCCCAAATTCAGCAGAAACCTGACAATTGTCAGATTGCCATAAGCCGCTGCGTAGAAGAGTGGTGTTTGCTGGTTGACTGGTTGAGGTCCACCTCCGCCAGATCGACGCCCATCCGCACCGCGCATCTGCCTAAACTTTCGCTTCCCCTGCGCTGTCGTGCTGCTATGAGAAACAGAGCATTTTGCCGAAGCTGGCTGTGACGCCAGCTGACGTCGAGCTTCGAAAGTGCCTCTTTGGCTTCTGTGAAGCTGCCATCACGCACCGTTTCACACAGCTGATCTTGATTCATCTCGGACAAGTCTTGAGCCCAAGAATCTTGCAGAGGTGGCGGACCCGGAGAAATTTCAGAATAAAAACAGGAAGAGGCAAGAACAAACGACAGCACCGCAACTCAGAGGATGATGTAACACAATACAATACTACTAATTTCAATATGGCATAATACAAGATACTATAACATGGCAGGACATAGCCCGATGTGATGTGAGAATATATAGTGCAATACAAGACAAAACAAAAAATGTGACGTGATTTGATACCATATGAGATGATAGAACAGGCTCTCATGCAAGATCAGACCAGATAAGACACGACTACATAACATAACAGAACCTTATAGTAGTGTGTAGTATATTTCTGGCAACCCCCAACCCTCTCCGGGCCTGCCGAAGCGAGGAAGGTGGCACATTCAGAACCTCACCAGCGGCTCGCAAGCGCCATGGTGCATTTATCTTACCACGGGGTTCCGTGTGGCCATGTCCTTGCTAAGCTTCTTAGGCTAAGGGTGTCTTTTCCGGGGGTGTTCGTGCTATGAATATGAGGATCCCGGTAATTTGGGATTCTCTGCTGGTAGGATCCCCCCCCCATGTTCTGAGACTCCCAAGTGGCCTCGCCAAATTCGAGACGTATGCGGCTGTTGGCACCTTCCTGCCCGACAGCGCCGATGCAGTCGACACCAGGAAGAAGATAAAGATGGGTTGAGGGTTTAGTTTTGTGGGGGTTTAGGGTTGGAAAAAAGCACACTGGAATGTAGTACTTCATTATATATTCAGAATGGCACGATATGATATGCTATTCTAAGATACGATATAGTGCGATGTAATATGACATGCAAGGTGAAATGCAACAAAAAGACAAGACAATGAGATACACCATAACATAATATAGTCAAGTAACAACAACAATCAGGACAGTCGAAGTCACAATCGTGACATAGCAACAGGTGATAACAACAATAAGACGAACAGCTAAAGCCACGATCGTAAAACAATCAACGCATTTGCAGTAGTATCCATGATAGCAACTTGCTAACAATGCCAATAAACATTACGACAGCGACAACAACAACAACAGCAGCAACAGCAACAGCAACAGCAACAGCGACAGCGACAGCGACAGCAACAGCAACAGCAACAGCAACACAACAGCAACAGCAACAACAACAACAACAACCGCAGTCAATGATAACAGCATCAATACTATCATACCGATAGCGGCAGTAATAACATGATATGAATGATATGATCACAAACAAAGCATGCTATACTAGTCCTCGAACTCCGGAGTGATGTAGTACCAAGAATAACCGAAGTAATCATATTCACCATTGTCACAATACCAGCAAAGATTTAGCAAATATGTAATAGCAACGGTAACTACTAAACTTATGCCCTGCGCCATTATACTCATGAGAAGAAAATGCTCAAAACAATAGTGTTCACAGTGAAATAGTAATGACACATACTAGCGACGATGACAATGACACCACCAATGGCATGGAAAAAAGGCTAACCATGACAACATAATATAGTAGTAATGATAACCGAATAACAACAAACAGTACTATCATTCAATTTGCTATAACTGTATACAAGCAGGAAAGACACTGATTTACTTAAACTACATGGAGAACTGAAAAGTACGAAGAAAGCAAATCACTCAACCATTCAATGAATAAACACATAGATGCATCATCCCAACAAAGGAAGAGGACTGACTATATACATAGAGCTATCATAAGCCATCCTCTGACCTCCTCGTCGGTTGGCTCGTAGAGAAGGCTAACGGCCTGCTGCCGAGCACGTTCTTAAGGCTCTCCCAATAACGAACATGGGGAGTTTGATATTATAGAAATTATAGAGGGACAGCCATGCGGATCCAATGAATACAGTTCACCTTCTCCGTGCCATCGGACAACTTGAAGAGCCGCGGATTCTCTGGAAGCTGGAATTCTTCCTCCGAGAGTGCGCAACATCTAGACACATGGCCACCCACTGAGATAGCCGTGCCAGTTCACTTTTCAATTTCACCTCCCCTGAACATACTTCTCCGCCGTCCTCCTTTGGAGGCTCCAGCGCAGGAAGTGCAAACGCCTTCGGACAAGCTACTGTGCGACTCTGGTCGAAAGCTCAGAGTAGGTTGTTCCAGGAGTTTGCTTTTGCTACCGGGGTCGACAAGCATTCGGACGGTCCCTTCATCTGCAACAGGCCTCGAAAGCAGCGACGTCAACGCTGTACTTGCCCACCGTTGGTGGTGCCTGTCCACGGCACTGAATCCAAAACACAGGGTCGGAACCCAAACGGCAAAAAGTCGGATCGGCAAGAACAGCGACAAACAGCACAATAACTGGAATGGTGCGGAGACGACGACGATAGGACTGGCTTGGAGTCTCACACGGCACGTCAATGATGGTTTCACAGCTTCTGCCCGCAGGAGCTTCAAATTCCAATCGAGCTTCCCACGCAAATCCCATAGCTGTCTGCGCTTAGGTACGCCAAGCCCAGCTCGGCCCCTTCCGTCCCCTGCCTCCACCGGAACCTCAAATCCGGGATTGGCACCACAGCATTTGTCTACTCAGAAGGTCAACATGGTTCTATGCTCTCGGGTCCGTCGTCCTCCTGAGAGCCAGGTTCCTAATCCCCGCAAATCCCCCCGACTGCTCGACTCCCAATTCTAGCGGGATCGCCAACCTTTGGGTTGGGGAAGTGACTCCGCCGTCTCCAGACACCACACCGTTGAAGATTTATCCTAAGAGCATCTGAAAAAGGCCTGGCTCTGAAACCATTTTGATACGGTGGCACGCCGTGCTGGTTTCGGGGGCTTTCCAGCTGCATGAAAACCCCCCACCCATTTGCTTGACCCTTAACATGGTTACCGTTTTTTACTCTCATCGTTCTACAGGACTTTGGGACTGTATAATCTAAGCTAATGTTACGAACATTCGTTATCGTTCTTTTTTTATTCTTATCGTTTCACAAGGAATTCGATTGCTCTCAATTTACGGGCGCATCTACTTTAAAAACTCCAGACGGGGTTTTTTTCCATGCTTTAGCTGTGCTTCAGTCAATGCAGGGGCTCCGCATGAAATTTCCGACGACAGTCGACAGTAGCAGAAGCTAGCTCCAGCCTACTTCTCTCATGCAGATGATAATGGATGATAGACACGAGCAGCCTTCCCCTCCCTGGCAAGGACACTCCGCGTCTGCTCGTCAGGCTCTAGGCAGCCTGCGACAAGCTAGGTGCTTCTGCAAGCGCACTTCTGTTCCCTTGTACCCTCGACTAAGGGTATATGATGGGTACATGGTCTCAAACAGTGGGTATTTAGAGTCTGATAGAGGGTAGATGGAGGGTCGAGGCAGAGAGCGCACGCCTACACGCACGACATCGAAGCCCAGTCGCTGCTTGGGGTTCCTTGGCTTCGGCGGGCTGGTCGGAATTCATGCAGATCAGATCCAATCTCGGTGACAAGTCTAAGCGGGAAGACGCTGAGACTTCTTTCGGGACAAGGCGCGCTGGATCTCTGACCTCTTCGGTGTAGAAGCCTGAAGCAGCAGGGTTCCCAAACCCGACCTGGCTTTTCCGTTCACTCCTACGTCTTCTGTGCAAGGGAAGATCTTGAGCTGTCGATTTCGAGACGAGTGCGCACCGGCGAGCTTGGAATCCGGCAAGATGCTGGAAGCCAACTGGGAATTAAGAAACCACTGGATCTTATATTATAGAGGTTCGGAATATCGATTCTGTCTTCTGGGGGTTCAGATTCTAGAGTCTAGAGGCTCTCGGATTGTGGTAGGATGCGCACCTCGCACATCCACACCACCCTCTCCATCTTCCTCCAAGACGGAGACATGGGGTCATGAGAAAACCCGAGCATCTCTGCCAGGTCCTCGCGCAGCTTCTCCAGCAACTTGTGCACCAGAGTCGTCTTGCCCACTCCAGGCTGGCCTGGGCGTTTGATCCAATTACATTGCAATACAATCAATACACTATAATCTACTACATATACTATACTATACTATACTATACTATACTATACTATACAATTGCCTACTTTCTTATGATTCGCGAAGAGATTCTCGCTCTTGGCATCGCTTGACTGTTGCCCAGCTACTCGCGATGAAGATGTGCCTGGGCTGCTTCCTGCAAGAGCTTCTGCGACTCTCCTTTCCACTGCTTGCACTATTGGAAGTCCCAGACGGTCCTGGGCTCCTCTTTGGGGGCCGCCGGCGTCGCTTCTTCTGGGGCCTCCTGGCACAGTCTCTGAAATCCAAACCCAAGCCCAGCAGGCGCCAGATCTTTGGCCTCTAACTTGGCTGGCGCCGTAGTGGCTGCCTGGCTCATGAGCATCACAGAAGCTCAGAAGACCGTTACAGTTCCTGGATTCCTGGTGACCATACGACCAACAAGAATCGATTTAAGCATGCTCACAGGATCCGTCGAGTCGAACCGGACCCACTGAAACCATCAGGATACGGGGTGTCACTGCCTTCTGCTCGGAGACACTCGTATTCTGATCTTGCAAGAACTGGCAACTGAGCAACGGGAAACCGTGAAAACAGGGAAGGGCCCAGGCGCCTCTGCCGGAGCCTCCTTCGCTGGTGGCTCCGACGCCAAGGTCTCGAACTCCTCCTCGGAGATTCGATGGCGGCATGGCTTTTGGGAATGGATTTCTGTCAACTCAGCATGCGACGAGCTCGCCGTACCCATCCCATCCGTCACCGAGATCTTTTTGCACCGGAAGGTCGTAGTCGTCCTCCCAGTCTTGCGCCTGCATTGCAGATGCCTTCTCTTTCACCCACACGACCCTCTACAATCCAACCGCAGGGAGAACTTGCTGGAGCCCCTCCCGCATGGCAGATACACATCTGCTACTGCTCGTCTTGATGGAAGGCATAGCTTACATGCTGGCCAGCACTTTTACACGGAATCTTTTCCTCACATCACGTCCACCGAACAACACGGTACCAGTTCTGAGTATCGGGCAGACGCAGATGCAGACGGAGGCTGCACTTCCACAGCAACCTGAACATCATGACTTTACCGGCTTGCGATTGGCAGATGCGACCTGGAGACCACTGGCGAGATCAACTTAAAAATCCGATTAGTTTTGAAGTCTCTTGTTCTCAAATCCAGCAGTCTTTCTGGCCGGGGCTGCTGCTTGTGAAAGGGATGCATCCTCGCCTTGTTGCAGTGAGATAGGCAATTGTGACAAACCCCATGAACATGACTATAGCTCGCCCCGCCACTGAGGGCTTGACTAGGTGCAGGTTGGGTTGGAAGACTCTCCTCAGGACATGCGAAAGTACATCTCATAGATGTTGGCAAGGAAGTGAAGTGGCAAGACACAGGGCAACACCCAAAATGTAAACACTGCTTCCCAACATCGCAAACAACGCCGAAAGCTACCCAGAACAACAGCAGCTCCTGCGGTGGTGACCGCGTGAGCAGCGCGGCCGCGCCGCCCTGCACAAACAGAAGGCGGCACGACTATCGACTTGAACCTGCCAGAAAGCCCTCATGAGTGACTGCATGACTGTGCAGCTGTGGCTGGTTCCGACGTGTGGGCACCCGCCCAATCTGCTGCTCATGCCCCCATACGAAAGGTGACCATCAGATCAGCCAATGCAGACATCCGCAAAACACGAGAGCACTGTTCAGTGGACAGACCGACGAAGGCCAGGAAAGTGGCGCTGGCCTGAGGCGGCCGTGTAAGCAGCGCTGCCGCGCCGCCCTTTGCCAAAGACAGACCAAGCCGTGCGTCTTGCATCCCGTGTATGCTGTACTGAAAACTCGGTGTCTCTGAAATCACTCCCGGCCACAGGGAACGGATGTAGTAAAGAGCATGGGTTGCACAACCACAAGGTCCTGCGGCGGTGGCCGCGTCAGCAGCGCGGCCGCGCCTCCCTGCACAAAGAGAACGCACAGGCACAGCTGTCGCCCATACCGGAATCTGCAAACGAAGCTTTTCATCGTCATTTGATGGGCATCTCAGCTTCATCTTCTGGATGTGTATGTAACTCATCTCTGCGATACCATCGCAAGCATGCCCACACCCACACTGTACAATCTGCTGCCCATGCCCCTGTAACAAAGAAAAGGTGACAATCAGAGCAGTCAATGCAGACATCCGCAAAACACGAGAGCTCTGTTCAGTGGACAGACCGACGAAGGCCAGGAAAGTGGCGCGGGCCTGAGGCGGCGGCCGTGTAAGCAGCGCTGCCGCGCCGCCCTTTGCCAGAGACAGACCAAGCCGTGCATCTTGCATCCCGTATAATTATGCTTTACTGAAAACTCGGTGTCTCTGAAATCACTCCCGGCCACAGTGAACGGATGTAGTAAAGAGCATAGGTTGCACAACCACAAGGTCCTGCGGCGGCGGCCGTGTCAGCAGCGCGGCCGCGCCTCCCTGCACAAAGAGAAGGGCTCTCGCCGATCCGTACTGGCACCCAGGCAGGACTGCTAACAGCTGCCAAATGCTGCAACTTCGTATATCACCATGGCAGAGACTCTCTTTAGCTCGGTTTTGCCTTAACTGGGCCCCTGCAAATTCTCCTGGAGAGCTCCAAGAAGCTCCAGGCTTCGATCTTACAAAGCTCCCCCCGAGCCTGCGGCGGGCGTGTCGGCGCCGGGCCGCCCTGTCGGCTGACATGAACTCACTGGAAGGCTCTGCACCTAGGGCCTTGACATTCTTACTGCAAGCTTCGGACAGATAATTCAAGGTAACTTCGCGCTTCTCTCGGACGGAAACATGAAGCCACGCCACTCCCGGTCTGCTGCTTCCCCGCCTCCCAATACCCGGACAGCCCCCAAAACCCCCAAAAATCAAGGAATGAATATTCTTAATGCCTCATGTTGAGCCAAGCTGAAGCAAATTCCTTGATTGAGGCTCTCCGGGTAAAACCTTATTGCGCAGGGATCTACGTGTAGTATTCTGGTAGTGTGGGGATGCCTGGTACAGTACTCTGAAACAACCGATCCGCGCAGGACGCATGTCTGTTCGTGGGCACGATCGATAAAGAAAACACGCCACACAGCTCTCCTGTTCTCGATGATGGTAGCACTTTAAGCCCTGTTCCATCCAGCAGTTCCTGTGCAGGCGGCCGTGGCGGCACTGCCACGCCACACTGTGCCGGGTTCTGGCATTTTGGATGTCATGATCTCCAGTTTAGGCGCTGTAACATCCTTCTCTGTTTCAGCCTCAGGCTCTCTTCAGATGTAGGTCTGCCGTTCGCTGCAGCACAGGCTCGCAAACTTAGAGGCGGGCACTGACTGCCTTTTGAGAGCTTCTTGCACATCTAATAGGAAAACGTAACTGCTGAGATTCGGGGCTGGCCGAAATCTGAAACGCTGCAGGTCCTGTGGGGGCGGCCGTGTCAGCAGGGTCGCTGCACCACCCTGAGCACACTCCACAATCATCGAAGATAGTGGCAGTGACGATTCAAACCTCTGCGATGCTGCTGTCACCGGCGCGGGCATCAGAACGACACAGAGCTTGTTAGTCATGCATACTTCCGATTTGCGTGGGAGTGATTTCGAATGACAAGAAGCTTAGCATGAGGTGAGGTGTCGGGCGTATGCAACAGTTTCCTGCAAGTTGTAATCCTGGAATCCACGTCCATTCAGTCCCGCTGCTCCGGCACGTTGTGACAAGGCTTCCATGACTGCACATCAAACATAACAAAATGTCGTTGCAGTCGAGAGTCCTGAGTCATGGCCGCAGGGCGGGGCAAACGATACTATTCAATTTTGCCGAATCTTGTGTGTGCTGGAATGGTCTGGCTGGGATGATGGTGGCGGTTCGTCACGACGGTTGTGCTGTAGCTGGCTTATACTTATGCCGGGCCTGGGTCAGGCTTCTGTAGACATCTTTCAAACATCCCACTGGCAGCTTTGTTGCGGTTCTTCTCGACTCCTCAAGTAAGCAATTTCGATGTGTTCTATTCTGTCCTCCTGGGCCAGCGGCCAGAGTGCGGCAGGTAGGAGGCACACGACAGTCCTCTGCTCTTAATGCTCTACATGTGACTAGCCCGTGACCATTTTCCTCGGGAAAATGGACCGACTTCGACAAATATCAACCAAGGATTCCGACCACCGAGCTCAAGGAACCAATACTACAGCTGGCTCTTCTGAGCCTGGACGCCCCTCCCCCGGCACCGCAGCGGACCACGAAGGCCAGGGCCAGAAAATCAAAGAAAAAGTGCTCCCCCTTTTCACCTCTCGAACCCGCTTTGTCACCCAATGTCACCCACAGCTCAGTCTTCTTCCTCCTGGCAGCTCAAGTCATCGAGCAACGCAGATGATGGATCTTTGGGCTTGCCTCTTCAGCTGCTGCCTGAACAGCCACGGTGTCCAATTCGCGCTGGCCCTCCTGAAAGTGACTGTCAAACAGCAGAGGCAAACCTAGAAGCTACTTTCCCCGCAACCGTCCTTCGTGATCATTCGGCCGCCCTGGTCGTCCTGCTCCACCAGTCCCATCTCCTGGCAAGCATGCCTTGCTCATGACATGTATCCTTCCTATGCACAGGGCACTCGGCGTCGCAGGGTTTGGCGCGAAAACGCGAGCATCGCATCCTCCAGCTGCTGCAGAATGTACCGCGCGATCTTGCCGGAGGATTTGGTCTTAGTCAAGGGGCTATGGTCCCTGATGGCAACCCTGCCAGCACCCCAGAGATGAGGGACGGACAAAGACATTGGTGCAGGTACCTCGGCGCTTCTGTCCTCCGTACACCTTCTTGAAGGCACCTTGCATTTCCGCTGATGACTCTGACCCTCCGCTTCACTGAGCTCTGCCACAGTGACCTGCTGGCCTCACTGGCCCCGATCGGTGCAGCCGAGCTGCCAACGCCCATGCCTTTGCGAATGTAGATCTTTCGCACCATGGACGCCGTTCTGACGTACAGCCAATCCGGATCCTCGAAGTGACATGAAGGGAGATCCACATCGATTCATGCGGGTGCTTCTCTTCTCCTGCGCCTGCCTCCCCTCGCGCCACATGCGAGTTAGAGAGTTCTACCATCCGAGTCATGGGCCTGTAAAGGTTGGGTGCCTTGCAGGGCCTCGTAAACCCAGTCTAATCTGCGAGCTGCAGGCCCCGTTAAGGACAGACAGAGACCGCTTGATGGCTATATCGTTCCTTCTCTTCTGAGTCAACAAGATTCTGCAAGGCATTTTCAGATACCATCAATCGCAGTCCAGGCGCGGAAGGTGGCAGCTCCTTCGCCTTGCTCGTCTTTACCACATCCGCCCACTTCGGCAGCTCGAAGCGGCCTCGAGTTGCGCATGCCATGTGCCGAGGCAGGCAGTGTCCCTGCAGTGTCCTTGCCCTGCCTTGGCGCTTGAGGTGCTGGGAGAAAGCCTTGATGAACTGCTCAGGCTCAACGTCCTTCACGGTCACGATCTTGCGGCCCTCCTGCGGCATGATGCAGCTCGGCCCGGACAGAGCTGCACTTCCGGGCGCCTTGAAGTAGTTGTCAAACACCTCGATGGACATGTTTCGGGAGCAGTGGCGAATCGAGATATCCGAGAAGTGGTGTCTACCGCAGCCAAGCTTGAACCCAATTGCAGCACACATGTGCTAATCTTCAAGGCGTATGTCATGACGTTGGTAATGCAAGCGCGGTGCCTACTATGCTGCCTTCATCCTACCACTTCGTTTTTTCCAACAGCTTTGGAGCATGCCCGACGTCGCTTGGAGGTTTCCCCTGAACTGCTGTGATCACACACGGCACTAACATTGATACACATCTCGATAGTCACTGGCCCTCCATAGGCTCCATAGCCAGCATGGGTTGCTCAGCTTCCGCGAACTGATCCGTGAAGTCGATGTCCTCTTCAACCTGCGTCTCCTCCTCCGCCTTCGACGGTCTATGGGGCTTCAACGGTTACGGCTACCTGACATAACTGGATTTGACTTGGCTTGAGCTGGATTCGGATTTTTGCTGAGACAAGCACAGCATCAACAATCATCACCGACCTCAGTTCATGCGATTCCCTTCCTTTTCGATGAAACCCCGGAAGCACATGATGTGGCTTTGGAAAAAAGGTCTGCCAATAGTCAGCTACAGCTACAGGTTCTTGCTGTGCCCTCTTGCCTGTTCTCCTGTGCTTGGGGGCCCTGCCTTCGGTTCAGCTCCCTCGGATCCACCGGCGTACCTGTCCCCCGTGCAGCACTGGCACCGCGTCTGAGTTAAGCTTTTCGAGCAACGCTTGGGCCTTCTAACTCGGCCATTCGCGTCATCAGCTTGGATTTCGTCCTGGGCAGCTTTCTGCTTTCTGAAGTGCTCTTGTCGGTCATTTGTTGAGCCTCCGCTGCATGTCGCGGTTTTTCTCCATGTAGGCATCTCTCACCTCCGGTGGAGCATCCTGCACGCTGGCAAAAGCTGGCGGAAACCCAAAAGCCTCGAAAGACAGATGCTACAGTAGCAGCTTCACACCGCCCTTCCTGAGGAATCCCCTTCCGGACTTTGGTGAACGGGAGCTTGTAGTTCCTACGGCAGCAGCGAACTCGAGCTGAAGAACACACGGGAACTGTGCAACGGTAAAGTCTGAAACAGACTGAAAAAGCAGAAGCTGAGGCTTTCGACTACGAATGAACAGGGCTTTTCGAAGCACGCAAATCCAGCCAGAAGGGAGATGGGATGGGACACTGCTGACGGCCTTGGTCTCCACGCGAGCTGCAGACCCTGCATCAGCAGTCGTAGCAGTTGCACGGAATCTGACAAAGCTGCACACGAAACCATTATGAGCGTACGCGGATCGCAATGCAACGAAAACCTGCAGATCTCATCTACTCTTGTTTTCAACGCCTCCGAAATGTCGGCCGAACATCCAACAGAGCACCAGCTGCGCTGCATGGATACATCGTTCAGAACTTCACCCAGCGTCTCGTCTTGCCGTGCCCTGGCTTTCAACCCGGACCCGTCGCCCCATCGCATCCTGCCCGAGCTGCCATACCTTGGCCCCTTGTTGCCTCCTTCTGCAGCTTGGAGTCTCCTGGGAGCCTCGAGTCGGAATCACTTGGAGTAGACTTGATGCTTAGCAAGACGGCCCTCAGCGAAGTCGGCCATGAACGCTGCGACCGAGTCTGCAGACAGTGCCTGCGGACCTTCAGGCCCGATGTAGAAGCTGCCATTATCCGGAAGGTCTATCAGCAAGAGGCGAGGAACCTGGCTGGGCTTCAAGCCGCAGACTTGATACAGTTGTTTAGTCAGGACACCCCCACAGCCAACAAAGAGACCATATTCTCCACCGGCTGCCTTGGCTGCCTGTTGGAGCGCCTCAGCCGCCTGGGCTGCCTCCCCCTCTTCACATAAGCAGATGAAGGAGGGCGAGTCGTTGAGGCGCTTGGGGTCTGAGACGGCCATGTCCTGGCCACTTGGCTCGGGCCAAGGGTAGTGCTCCCCAGAGGGGTCGTCGACCAGCGCCTCCCTCGCGCCCGTGGTGATGGTCTTGCCCTCTGCGTCCACCAGAGCGAGCGTGGGGATGCTGCGCACGGCGAAGTGTCTTCCAAGCTCCTGGTTGATGGAGCTCTCCTCGTAGGGTAAGGCCAACCAAGGCATGGAGGCGTAGTAGTTTGCAAAGGACTCTTCATCTCTGTCCCATGAGACGAGGATGCAGCGCAGCCCCTTTGAATGCAGATGCTCTTTGTAGCTGTCGATGAGAAGTGGCGTGAACCCTCTACAGGGTGGGCACCAACTTGCGGAAAAATAGAACCCCACTGCAGAAGCTCCTCGAAGGGCATCTGCTGTCAGAACCCGAGAGCCATCTGACTTGGAGAGTAGATGCTTGCCCAACAGGCGAAGAAGCTCGGGCATTGCTAGGCACCTGCTAGTTTTGTCTGTACAAGAATGAACCAAGACGGCTTTTAAGCAGAGAACAAGAAATTGCGGCACGCCCCTTTCGACATTGCTCACAAACCAGCAACACTGTCTGTGGAGGTGGGGGGGGGGTCATATTTGTGGTACTGGCGGTGGTGACGCCGCTGCTGCTGCTGCTGCTGCTGCTGGTGTTGTTGGTGCAATCTGCTGCGGGCGCAGGTGCGGGCGCCAGAAACGACGTGCTGGCATGATCTGGCATGCGCTGGTGCTGGAGCTTAGGCCGTTTCTCAAGTCTGAGTCATGCGGTGCATGCCTGAAAATTGAGCCAGTCCGGAACTTTGTGGCCCTGAGAGAGGACCATGCGCCGCATAGCCTGGCTCTGCCAATCTCAGATGACTGCAAGTTGCAGTTGAACAGTCCTAAAGCATACTGAAGCCTGCAAAGGCATCGGAGTCGTATCCAGCAACAGCATCATAGGAATCATGTCATAATGTTGCATCCAATCGTCTGTTCTCCATGGGGCACTGGCCGCTCGGGACTCCGGCACAACGCGTGCCAGAAGTGCCCCGAAGATCTTCTCGCGTCCGGTGACGAAGGTTACGGCAGTGCCCTCGCGACCTATCCTCCCAGTTCCTGAAACTCAAGATGATGCGACAGTCAACTTGCTCGCAAAAGCATTGGCAAGGCTTCCAGCTCTGCTAGATTAGTTGAGGCGCTTCCGATGCGATGCACGAACTCATCCAAGACCTAAGGGAGATGAAGAGCTGGAAACGTTAGGCAGCAGGCCCGTGAGGGGCCGTGCCAGCGGTAGCTCGTAGTTGATGACATGGGTCACGCTCTCCACGTCCAAGCCACGCGCCTCGCGAAGCATGAGTGCGCTAGAGTGAAGGGCCCTCTGAAAGATCACCTCGAGGCTCGGGCCGCAATGTCCGTGGCGACCAGAATATCAGCGCTTCCTTCTTTCAGTGCCTCCATGTTCGCAGCTCGGGCAAGCATGCCAACGGGTCTCCGTCGAGCACCTTGATGGACTTGCTGCGGAAAGACTGCGTCATGCCGCCATGGCAGGTCACCACCTCAAGGTTCGGAGCACATCCGAGAAGCTTTGGAGTCTTCTTTGCAGCTGAGCTGTGCGCCCCCTCAAACTGCTCCTTCAGGTAGCGGTATACCTCCATCACCTGACAGCAAGCTATAGCACGCTTCTTCTGGAAGCACAAGAATGACTGGCTGCTTTCTATCGAACGAAAAATACGAAATACTTTGGTGTCCAGGGTTGTAAATCAGACCCAAGGTCGCAGCAGTGTCGCGTCTCCTGCAAAAGACGATGATCGTGGCCTCGCAGCTCGGGATGTCTTCTCGAGTCGAAGATTCAACTCTTCCTGCATGACGCGGGCCTCCTCGAACTCGCGAGCTTCGAGGACCCCTCTCAACCTGCCGCATGATATGCGGCTTCGAACATCACTGACACAAGTTGCTCTTGGAAACTTGGGACAAGTTGAGCAAGATGGGAGGCTTCAGTTGTATTTCACCGAGCTTCCAGCGTATCCAGCTTGCATCGCACACTGGAGTCTGTCCGCAAGCTTGTGTGGTGAAGTCGTCCCTGCGGCATAAGCTCACAGAATCGAGCGCTGTTGCTTATGTGCAAGATCGTCTCGATTAGCTTGCACCGAAAGCCTTCAAAAGCATCTTGCGCTGGACGAGATCACCGTCATCAAACTGCACTCGCCATTTACCTTACGCGCAGCAGAGGAAACAACACGGACATCGTCTTCGCATGATAGGAAAGAGTCTGAGAGCTGCACGGCCAACCTGGAACTCTGCGATACCGCGCCTTGGCAACTGTCAAGACAGTTAGAGGTGCTACGCTAGAGAAAAGGGAACGGCCTGCCGCCCTTTGTAATCACCGGATCTCCTGGTTGAAACCTGAAAACTCAAGCAAATAAGTCCACAACTGAAGGCACGGAAGACGACGCTCACTGCATGTTGAGCTCACGACTCGCGAAGAGCACGATGCGGAGGACGGGCGTCGACGAAGACATGAGAGATCGTCGTCGGCTGCAGTGAGGTCAGCGGCTTCCGAAAGTTTAAGTGTCGGATGCTTCACGTGCTTGTATGCCTGTTTCGTGGAAAGCATGGCTGAGCTTCGAACCACTGGATTAGTTTGGCCACCGGTGCAGTCGACCCAAGCCTCCCATATCAGACATATCAATTGCAGAAGCACCTTCCCGTCACAACAAGAAGCGCGGGCCGTCCCACATGTTCCTGGGATCCGAGCACACTGTGTTCCCAGAAAGGCTTCTGCCAGCTCTCGCACCGAGAGGGGGATGGTTGCGGACCAGAACTTAGCATGCAAGAAACCCCGGTTTGGGCAATGTAGAAAGATGTGACCCAGACTTTGCCGTGGTTGCGAGGACGGTACGCGGCAGCAGCAGCAGCAGCAGCAGCAGCAGCAACACCAACAGTAGCCGCAGAGGCAGCAACAGAAAGAGTTTGTGCCAGGCACTCGCGTCTGGCAGCTTGACAGTACACAGGACAACAACAGAGTCGTTGTTCTAAGGCTATCGTCTGCTTGCACACCCCTAGCATCGGCAAGTGTCAAATCTGTTAGGTGCCTTCCTGCGGGTTGAAGCTCAGTCTGTTGCAGTCGTCTGTCGACCACCAAGTTTGCCAGGCCTCCAAGTGCCGCGCTGGGATGGATCGTCACGTTTCGGCCCCTGCTGGGTTCCTTGCATGGCACCCTGAGTGACGATCTCCTCAAGCTGACTCCCAAATCCTGACGCTTTCCGGAGCAAGCATCAAAAAGTTCCAACGGCTTCCGACAGAGTCAACCCCAGTATCGAGCCTAATTCCATCATCCTGTCCACCTCGTCGAAAACTAGAAACCGGACCTGCAGATTGCAACGACCCGCTCGTGAGGAATCAGAAAGACCTCCCATTTGAGCCTCGTCAAGGCGAATCATGCCCTTGTGCAGAGCATCAATCAGACGCCCCGGCGTTGCTACCTTTCTGCGCGCGGGCTCTCGTAACTTTGACTTTGTCTCTGCATCGGACTTTCGGATCAGGGGCGTCGAACTGGGCCTGCGACCAATATGTCTGCGCCGTGCGCCAAGTCACCTGAAAAGCCCCTAAACCCGCCTCAGAGCCTTGCCTTTACCGTCATTAAAACCAAACCGCATAATAGGCTCCTTTGAAGGACCCTGCATCTGCCTCCAGAAGCTGAACACGAAGCTGAAGCAGTTGATGAATAGTTTCAGCATGTGCGGCTACCGACAGAGATGCAACTTCTTGCTGTGCCTCGTCGCCTCTGTCTGTCATGACAAGCTGCCACTCAAAGCGACGGCTGATCGCGACACCGACTGCCACCACCATCGCCACCACTGGCAGCGGCAGCAGCAGGCAAATTAGCATTAGCATCAGCATCATCAGCAAAACATCCTCGTCCTAGTCAACGCGGCATGACGAGAATGGTCATCGTCCTGAGTCCTTAGCAGTGCCGAGAGCATGTTGCAGGGTATGACCACAGAGAGCCATGGAACGGGCACCAACTCACAGAGCACTTCATACTCGGCCGGTCTCTCCCCTCACTATCCCTCAGTGGCCCCCAGGCTGCCCGGAGCAACAGCCGTAGGCCACAAGAATTGGCACAAGTAATCGCGAGCAAGCAGCCCGTTGCTCCGACATTCAGCAATCCAAGCCGTATGCAACACGACTCGCAAGCCACGAAGTGCAAGCAGGCAAAGCATTCCAAGCTTTCTCAGCATGTATAAAGTGGCATGAAGGGCGAGGCGCCAGTTCCAACAGCACATGTACGACACCACAGTGAACTCATGAACAGTGGCCTCAGCGATCAAGTGCATCGGCAAACTCATCGCCGATGCTAATGGCTCCAGCCGCAGGGGCAAGTTTTCACATGTTTTCCTCATTCAGCCATCATAATCACGACAGAACCTGGCATGACATGGTGCTATGTGCAACTAAGAAATCCAGCACGCTTTACAACGGCACGCCATGCAATGTGTAGTTACATCCAACATATACTGGTATCTGCCTCTCCGTCAATATCTGCCTGTGTTTGTCCTGCATGCCTGCATGATCCTGCATGCTTACCTACCTACCACCCTGCCTGCCTGCCTGCCTGCCTGCCTCCCTGCCTACTTACTTTAACTTACGTACCTATTTTCCAAGCCTATCTACCTGCCTGCCTACCTACCTACCTACCTCACTACCTACGTATGCAAGTGCGTACATACATCGGTAAATATCCATCTATGAATGCATGCATGCCTATTTACGGAGACAAACACGTGACTGTAAGTGAGATACATATGTTACATATACATACATATATGTATATACACATACCCACACCCAGCAATCCAGCTCGCCAGCCTACACAGTTTCCAAGATGCACACAGGCTTCAGCGATCAAGTGTTTTGTAAAAGTCATTGCCCAGCTACAGCTCTGCCGCAAGGGGCACCTTCCACATGCTCTCCTCATTCAGCCCGAACAAGCCTGCGCAATTCACACACGAGCAACGGTCTGCGATTCAGGTAATATATCGCCAGAACCTCCGCCGAATCGCACAAGCACAAGCATGCAACAGCATCAACAGGTGCCCGCCACCGGCCACAATCCGAGTGCACGCAGTGAAGCGGCCCAGTTCGAAGTTGGTGAGCACGGAGGCCGACAGCGACCCGAAACCATACGTTTCATTGCATAGTCTCGGGATGTCTCGGGATCTTGCGGAACTGCGAGCGCAGGTTGCTATCGCCGTAGATGGCTGCCTGGGTGCCGAGAATGGAATCTCCACACGGCAATATCGCTGAGAATCTGTTCAGATGCACACACGCACACACACACACATAAGCATTTAGCAGCACATGCTCTACCATCATCATATGCTATCGTACACCAATCACCAGACAGAAGAACTGTGAGATATCACGGTATACAGTAACATGTGATAATATGCAAAAGCTTTGTACAGCTCTGTAGACATAGCTTCGAAACTGAAGATCATACACCGATGTGCAATTACCTGCCAGAGACAGCAAAAGTGCTGTTTGATGCACAGTAGGTTCGGTCGGGGAAAGTGCCTGTAACATGGGCCCGCAGCCTCTGGGGTCTAAGAAGAGACATGTGGGGCTTGGCTTTGACACACCGTTGGTGAGGCAGGGGGGGGGGTCGATCTCTTGCCTGCCGCAGTGTACTGTCACAAAACAAGCCAGCTGCACAGACAATAACATGATAATACGTGTACATATGTAGGTGAAACCATCTGAGAAACATTTAGACAGAAGTATATGTTTCTGTGTGTCCGCATTACCATGTAGAGATAGGTAGATAGATAGACAGATAGATAGATAAACAGATAGATAGACTTAGACAGGTCGATTTGGATAAACAGATTTACACAGATAGATGTAGATAGATAGACAGATTTAGATTCAAATTCAAACAGGTTTAGATAGATAGATTTAGATAGATAGATAGATTTAGATATAGATAGATTTGGATAGATGGATTGAGACAGATACATTTAGATAGATAGGTTGAGACGCATAGACTTCAGATAGACAGATAGATAGATAGATAGATAGGTAGGTAGACAGACAGGTATTAAATATGTGTATACATATATATATATATACATATTATACACACATACATTATGCCTGCACACATTGACAAACACACCTGTGTTTGAATCGCTCATCTGCCGTCAGAGGCCCTGGCACTTCGCAGAGGGGAGTAGTGCAGAAACTCTTTGGCTTCGTTATGCACCTGCTGAGGTCGACGTGTCCACTTTTGATCGAACCAAAGGGTCCATCCTATCAAAAGAACCCCACATCAGAGCATCCGAAATTGAGTCTGAAGCCTGCCTGCTCGCTGAGCTCCCGCGTAGGCACCAACACGACGGCTTTCGGAACTGCCGGACCCTGCCACCTCCTGCCACAGCCAGTGACGGGGCCAGTGCTTCTGCCTTGCTAGGATTATGCAGACATTTCATGCCCTAGCACTTTCTGCAGTCATACCTGCCCGGGCTCAGCAACAATTGCGATGAAAGCTCTGCAAAACTCGGCTTCCTCTTCGGTGGAGGTTCTGGCCTTGGCATGCTTTCCGCAAAGCTCTTTGGTCAGCTCAGGGACTTCTGCTCACCTCGCAGTTTTGGGTAATCCTAGTCCGAATGTTCCTGCGTGGCCTCAAGGCTCCTCCATGGTCTGATTGTCTGATTGAAACCAGTCTTGGAAAAGACACCTTTCGGGCGGGGGCGGGATGCCAACAGGCTTAAGACCCTGGACACGGTCAAAGAGACACAAGTTGCCTGGGGGCCGAGGAGCCCAACATCCGCAATGTTGAGAGCCCGGCGCGCCGACCACCCATTCGACCGGCACCAGCTGTCGATGTGTCTGTCCAGGGCTATCAAGGTGCAAGATGGTCCAAGAATTTCCCACAGTTTGCTGATGTTCAGGTGCTAAAGTGTTCAACTGCTGAAGCCCAACGACTGGTGCCGGTGCGTGGACTGGAGGGGCAGTGGAGTCCTTTTGAGTGCTTATTGATACTGGAAGTTCGACGTGTAGCCTAGGGTCTTCACGAGTCGCACCTAGATGAGATGTGGTTACGGGACAGGACTTGTAAGTAGTGGACTGCACTTTGGGCATGCTGCTCTAGCCTCTACAGTAGGTCCACAGGTTTGAGAGGTCATGCCCTTGGTCGATGCAGTGGCTGCAGCATCACCACTCATCTGGATCGAGACACGACGGCCAATGGAAAGCCGAGACAAGCGGCACAACTCATGTTGGCGGAACGCTGAAGGAAAGACGTCGTTTACCCTGCCCAGGTTCACAGACGGCAGATGCCTCGAGAGCTGCACTATGCGACAAGCATGTGCGTCGACAAGCAGGCCTTGCCCGCTGCAGCTTCGAACTCCAGTGCTGCTCGACCATTCTTGATTCCTCAGCCAAATATCAACAAGAATCATGCGCATCTGATGACAGCGAAACGCATACAGGACGAGGGCCAACATGAAGACCAGCCGGGAACCGCTAATCCATCACATGATTTTGTTGCGAAAAACATGGCAACAGATTCGGCCCGTTCTTTCTCCGACGCAAGCTTCTTCGGATGCTCTGTGCGAGCTGGAGCTTCTCGAGGTGCCTCCTGGCGTGTCCGCGTGCCGGGCACGTGCGTTGCCTTCGACCAAAGCTTGATGAGGAACAATCCGTGCACATCACACGTACGTCACACGTACATCTGCATCTCCTCCGTCATGTCCTTGTGGACCTTGGCAGAGGTCCCCGCACGAAAAGATTAAACAATGTGTGGATCTGGCCTCGGCATCCTCGGCAGGCTTTGGAGCGCTGACCGACTCGAAAAGGTACACCTCTAACTCACAGCGGAGTGCTAAAGGGAAGTATTCCCGGGCTTCTGACACAGAAACCCAAAGGAACCTGGCCTGATAACTGGAGCGTCCCTGCGGCACGAAGTTGTAGATCAATGCCGACTCTTCCTCCTCTCTTGACTCGAAGTGGTGCCAGTTCTTGCGTGCCTCCGAGACTAAGAAGTTTGCAAAATACTGCATCGCCTTGCAGGGAGCTCTTCTGCAAGTATCCCTCCCCCCTCCCGGCTTGAACAGATAATACAGCTCTGCAGATACACCTCGATAGCGTGAGGACCATGATTGATGCCAGACTCGTCGGCACCCCACTCGAAGATTGGCCGTTCCGGGTGCCACTGCACGCCGTAGATTGGGAGGCTCTTGCCCTCGATCGTGGAGACGAACACCCGCCCCTTTCCTCGATTGTGGCTGCATGTTGCCGTTTTGTTCGACTCAGCGCTGTAAGTATTGACAAGCAGCTGTCTCGGTTGGTGGAGAGCACAGAGAACAGACTGGACAGGCGCTGGTTGGTCACGAAGCTGTCGGGTGTCACACCATCATGATGCAAGTTCGTGGTAATGTTTTCCTCGGGCAGCAGATTACAGCAGTGATCGTGGTCATACACGCACGCTCGCTGCAAAAAACAATACTACGCATTAACAAGTACCGGTACTAACGATATCATATGATATCATGTGCTGGAAGAACAAAGAAGAACGAGAAGAGCCAACCCATAAACCCCGAGATGGTCACACAGAAAGAGAAATGCAAAAGGATGCAAAAGCAGTTTAAGCTGCCGTGGTCAGCCAGCGCAAAATGTTCGGCGGCACATGTGGCCCTAGCAACTTTGACGTCTTTGCTTGCTGCACCAGCTCCAGTGGCAGCGACATGTTCTCCGAGTCGAAAGAATTGGTCTTCAAGACGGAGCTAGTGCCTTTGCAAATAACACGCACGAAACAAGATCAGAAAACCCGTTCTTGCCTTGCCTGCTGCGACCACTGACAGAGTCTGCAGCCCCATGCAGGTGCCCCAGAGCGGGACCCAGTCCCCAGCAGAACCAGCTTGCACAGTCAGGTTGAACAGCAGGGATGCTGCCCGGACATACCTGGCAGGAGTCTTGCAGAGGGTAGAGCAGTTCCGAAGGAATGCAGAGAGACAGAGAGAGCGAGAAAGAAAAAAAGGACGGCTCACCAAGTCAGTTTGCAGAGGATGAATCGACATGAAGGCTGGCAAGCCAAAGCGGAGGGCTCATACAAGGAAGTCAAAGGCCTTCTGTTGCGGTTCTTTTCTTATGTGCCCGTACATCCAAGCTGCTGGGCAGCCATGGGTGAGCTGCTGGGGTGCGCGATCTGCACACCACCGCCCGTGAAGAGAACAGCATTGACTGAAGCAAAAGCCTTCCCAAAGCTTCAGAAGCGGCTTGACATCAAAGTGTGAAGGAATGGCTTTAGGGGTTGAGGGCCGTGTGCTGAGAAAAGGGAGATGCCTCAGGATGTATGCCATGCATGCGTCGGAAAACGTAACATGATGTCGTTAGAATTCTTGCGATCGTATCGTTCATCTTAATATTTTTCCAGGTATGTCCCGAAGTGATTCGAACTGACGTCAATCTTTGCGGCTTCGTTTACTGGTTTATTAAAGAGCCCATTCTCATAGCTGGCAATGGTTGAGGATGGCACTGACTCTCTCTGGCCCTTATCATGTGTTGATATTCGGACGCGCTCATCGACCCCTTTCGTCTGTGTGCGCAATCGAGCGAGAACGTGCTCCACGGCATCGGATCACCCCGAACCTGTCAGAACCTCAAACATGCGCCATTGTTCATTCACATTCGTTCATGCTCTCGGATCAACTGCGCAGTTCGGGCCGAAAGCCGCGAATATTGAGCGCTGCTCGTAAGCCCATTGTTGCAACAAGAAATGAGATTGTTTCACGTGAGTCATATTGAGATTGCAAAAGGTTCTCTGCTTTGCAGTTCTCGGAGCACGGGTTCCCGGTCTGACCGCAACCGCTTGCGAGTCTGTGCCAGCTGATGAGTTTACCACCGAGTGCCTCAGCCTTCTAGGCCTTGCCCAAGATGTGCACTGCCTACAAAGCTGGCCGGCATTGTCTGAAGCCAATATAATGTACTATAAATAGCATACTCTCATGTTGCATTTCGGGATTATTGGATTGGCACTGCGGCTTCTGGCCATCCACCGCTCCGCTCGGGAGCTGTTCCGAAACTGTGTGAAGGTTCGTTTCGAGATCAGCTTTAGGTGTGTCCACGGTCCTGACAGGATTGGCTGAGGCACTACAGTAGCATATTATCGTATAATCTGATAGATAACTGTATATTACACTATATTTATGATGTATGAATTATAATAGGGCATGACAGAGCATTATAGTACGCTATGTACTACAGCATTGTACACAGTGTATTTTTGCGTCTACTATTGTATACTGGTGGTAAATTATCTGACATGCTTTCGCTTGCTGCCTTGGCCAGCTGCTGGTCATCCCAGTCGTAGAGGATTGGAACCACTCGTCCTCCAGCAGCCTCTACGTACTTGACCTCGTTTACGGGTTTGGGGTTCAAGGATTTAGGCATGCAGGATTTAGGGGTGTATGCTGCAAGATAATGTCTTGGGGACCTAACATTGAACACCAAGGCCGGGCAGCATAGAGAGATGCGAAGCAGCTGCCACCACTGGTTGCATCGTCTGTCCATCTGTATGCCCGAGCCGTTTCGCAGCCATGTGCTACGGGAACTGTCAGGACTCCTGACGCCGCGATGTTACCAAATGGCAGACACTGCCGCGACATTTCAAACTGCAGGTACACATCTCACTCAAAATCTGACGTGCCTACAATCGGCGCATCTGCTGCGTGGCCGCCAAGAGACAGTGCGAAGGCGCACAAAGCCGAGAAGCCGAACATTTTTAGGAAGAATGGTGCAAGCTTGAGGTGCAAGCGACACCCGGCTTTGCTTCCTTCAACCGGTGATCTGATGACTTGACTCTCCAATGCGGAGGGCCCCGTAAGGCGCTAAACGCTAAAAACCCTAAAGGCCCTAAAGTCCAAATCCTAAACTCAGGATCTCGTCGTAGCACGGGCGATCTGTGCTCTCTCGCTCGGAGCTGCAAGAGCCAAGAGCAACTGTCAAATCATCAATGAAATAAAGTACAGGCCGCACCTTGTCATATATGCACACACCGCACCATACTCCGTCAAATACGATCTGTGGAATGCATATTACTCTGGATTCGTTTGCGCTGCAAGACATTGCTCTATGCCATGAAATGCACATTTCGCAACGGTGCTCCATCTGGCTGTTTGTGAGTACACGTGACTGTATGTGGCGAATGGCATCATACATCTTCAAGTCCGCGCACAGCTGTGTCCCAAATGCTCTCTGAGACCGGGACCCTTCACCACACCCAGGCCAGGCTTGGCCTGAGTCCGACACGAGTTGGCCGAGTTGGTGATTTGGGTGTGTGGGTGGTCGTGCTGGCGGCGCTGGCGGCGGCGGCGATGGTGATGGCGGAGGTGGCGGAGGTGGCGGCAGTGGTGGTGCTGTGGTAGGTGGAGCAGAATTGTCCGACCACCTATGGACCAATGGTAGAAATGGCAGCCATCATAGCCAATGCTGACACTCGTGAACATGGTTGGAAGTCATCAACTCAGCTGTGCTTCTGGCACTGCGACTGTTGTCCTTGCACTCTTGCGAAGTGTTCACTACAGGTAATAAGATTCATGTGGGTCCGTCCTTGGTCTTGTAGTGGCTAGCCACACTCGTGCCTGGGATCAGTCTGGATACCTTCCGCCAGTGACGACGCGACTATCTCGAAGCGCTTCTGTCACACGGCAGATTTGAGGCATTTGAAGCCCCACACCACTTACAACATGCCTCGTGCAAACTCTTGAGGATGGGGAGCAAATACGCCGCTGTCCTTGGGCAAGGCTAAACGAAAACAACTTTCCCGTCGCATGCCCTATGTAGGTTGATGCTAGTTGCAGCCACCTCTGGGAATCCTGCTTGCCCGAGCCAGTGAATGCAGAGGCAAGAAAGTCGTGCCCACCTTTGTCAGACGCGGTCGTCCACACAGCAATGTACGAATGGGCACGAAGCAGGCGGTTGCTGGCCTTTCATCAAAGGCAGGGAGCACTGCTGCACCGGCGTCAAGTAGTAGAATCCACGCCGAGCCATTGCGGCCTCAAGCAGGTTGCAATTCGAGGGTGTTGGGCCTAAGCAATGCCGGAAAATTCCGGAAATACCAGCTTCCGTCCAGTGCCCTTATACAACTCCACTTGCTTCATGCATTCCCTGCTTCACAGAATCGTCGTCTTTCGCTGTCAACATCACCACAACCATGACATTCATCCCCATCTCCATCCTCACCATCATCAAAATCCAAACGAACCATAATTATCATGATCCATCATGACGGCCACCATCATGCTCATGATGACCATGATGACCATGCCTGCAACAACAACAACAACAACGTGTTCGTCTTGTCCTCCTCATCCTGATCCTGACCCTCATCATAATTGAAGGTGTCCTTGTCGTCATCGCCATCGCCGTCACCATCATCTTCGTCACCACCATCATCGTCATCACCACCATCATCAGCGTCAGCAGCAGCAAAACCGCCATGGGCATGAACCGTCGTCAATGCCCGCATCATCGCACGTCATTTTACTTTTTCACACTAGAACTGCAGTAATTGTCAACAATTGCCCTTTCAAACATTTTCTTCAAGTACCACTGGCAGTAGCCGCGAAGGGAGCAAAGCGGAGACTAGACATGGCAGACGTCGTCGATGTAACAGAAGCAGCAAATGATGAACCATGATAATTGAGGGGGAGACGAGGAGGAGAGGAGGAGGAAAGGGAGTGAGGAGGAGGAGGAAGCGAAGGAGGAGGCAGAGGAAGGCGAGGCTGACGGCTGCCGATCTCATTCCTTCGCTGCAAGGGAGTCCCTCGCAACATTGAGCATTCCACATGCGCAGGAAGGCATACCGACGTACTCTGCAGATCACGACACCGCTCGGACGTCCAATGCTTGCTTGAGGTTGACGATGCGATGATCGTGTGATGATTGAGGAAGGTAATGACCGCTGGCCGCATGCACGACAACCTCTTGCAATCGAAAGGACGTCTGGCTCTCTCACTCTCGCGCCTGAAGAAAAGGTGGATATCCAAGCTCTCTCACGGCATCTTCAAAGGTGGAGTAGAAGGGAACCTCCAGGACGCAGAGAGAGCGGTGCGGATCTGATGCTTTGCGGGCGGGCCGGCCTCGAGTGGGCTGCCGTCGGAGCCCATGATCGCTGGCTCTGCAGGCCGATAAGCCTTTTCGAAGTTGGCAGCCTGATCCTCAACATCATCCCCCTCGCCCGGTGCCGGAGGCTCCAGGGAAGGAAGCGGCGATGGCAAAGGCTCCGGGACCTTGTCCCGAGGCTGATTTTTCGGCCCCGGGGTCGGATGGAGCTGCTCCTCCCAGAAGACCCAAGACCTGAAGAGGCGGAGACCTGGGACCTGAAACTGCCTGCATCTGCAGCCGCGGAGCTCGTCATCCTCCCTTCTTTGCTGCGGCACGTCTCTCACATCTTCATCCGCTGGCAGATCCTGACACCGTCCCCGCCAACAAAAAAACCACTCTTCGGCTCAAGCGGACTCGGAGGTCACTCCACGCCTTGTTCAGCATGGACAGACCCACCAAGTCCGGATCTCTCGGCTGAGGGCCACGGGTCTTCGCCGCGAGCGCTAGGCCGGCGCCTGGAGAGGATGAAAAAAGCGGCTTTTTCCGGAAAGAATGTGCAGTGCCTATGAAAGGAGAGTTCGGTGCCTACTCCAAGCCGCAGCCAGGGCGTTCGAGTCTTTGCAGTCCCGGCGATCCTTGAGCTGCTGCCTTGGATCTGTCTCTGAAGCCCCAGGAACCGGGATGGGCTCGGCAGACTCTCGGTGCAGCCTTGAAGCTGCTGCTTCCGCCACTGCTCCAGACCTCTGGCACCACGGCTTGCGCAGTCCAGCGGCGGCCAAGGCAACCTCGAGCTGGTGAGTGCCAGAGGCTCAGGCTGGGAGCCTCCATGGCGTCCGACAGAGATAAACTTAGGATTGGATCTAATGGATGAAGCCGCGGGCGGTCGGGTATTGATACACTTGTGTCGCTCGCGACCCCTGGATACGGCATTCACGCGGGACATGCTGTCTCCCATTTAGCGAAAGTGCGGCGAAATGCGGCGGCTGTGAGCAAAGATGAACAGCTTGTGTGACAACATCATGTTCTGCATTACCATGAAGACATGGATCGCCGATCCATGGATCCTACAGTCTCTCTTTTCTCCGCGCGCGCGCACCACGACACGAACTGCGACGCCGGTTTTCGGGAGTGCGTCTTGCAGCTCCAGACGCCTGGGCGAAGTGGCCCTTGGAGTACCTTTCTCCACAGCTCACTTCTTCCCTGGGGTCTGAGAACATTACCAGAGGGCTGCTCAGAAGAAGCCGCCTCAAATTTTGCACCTCAGCTGGAATTGGTGTTCGCCTTCGCCGAACTTGGAGTAAACCTCTGCACGTAATGCAGGCTGCCGGCGACTGCTGTTCTAGGTGAGCCATGTACTCCGTGAGCTTCTGCAGCTGGGCCTGGGGTTGCTGCAGATCAAAGCGGCCAGCTCGTCTTCTCACCCATTGGCTGCTTGAGAGAGGGTGGAGTTTTTTGTTAACTCAGTTAACTCCCTTTCTTTTTGTTTTTGCTCCCTTTTTTTGCGGGGATTGGTGGGGGGTTCGCTGTATTTCCATACAAAGACCTCTCTTTTCGTTACTTTCTCAACCAAAAACTTCTATTTCTAGAGAATTCATGAAGCAAACAAACTTTCTCTATTTTTTGAGTCGAGCTTCGCATCTGACAGGTTGCCATCCGCTGACAGTGGAGTGAGACTTGAACGTCAAGCTAGAGATATGATGGAGTCTGAAGTTTAAAGACCCCGTAGACCAAAGCCTGTATAGGGAACGTTCTCATCTGTGACCAAACCGGAAGCTCGTCAAACAACTTTCTATGTTTTACTAGGTACAATGAAAAATTGTACTTTCACAATACGTTTCCAAAGATAACCTGTAATCTTCCGATATGTTCATGAGCGGGGGGTTGCGAGGGCGCAGCAAACACAATGATCACATGATGGGTTTCAACAAAAGGAAACTCATATAAGTTGAAGCAAGCTTGCACGGCTTAAAACAGCAAACAGGATGCTCGCATGATAGGATTCAAAAACACTCACATGGAAGCACGCTTGCACGGCTAGAAACAGCGCGGGGCTGGGGAGGGGGGGCAGCCCCTCCCATTTGCAAACCGACTGCTCGCATTATATCATTATGGGTTTCAAGCAAGACTCAGACTCACATGATTGAAGCAAGTTTGCACGGCTCTTCAAAAAGAATCAAATGCTTTCAAGCAACCTTGCACGGCTTAAAAAGGCGGGGGGTTGGGGGGGACGCAGACCCCCCCATTTGCAAACACAATGCTCGCAGGATGGGTTTCAGAAAGACTCATATGCTTCGCAACCCCCCATTTGCACACAGACTGCTCGCATGATGGGCTTCAAAAAAGACTCACATGCTTTGAAGCAAGCTTGCGCGGCTTAAAAGCCGGGGAATGGGGGGCGGGGGGGTGGCGCCCCGGGTGGAGAATTACAGTTTTTTGGCTTTGTTGTTTGCACTTTGTTTTTTGTGTTGCCGTTGTCGTGGCTTTAGGCTTTTGCTGCTTCAATTTTTCGGTGTTCTTTACAGCATATGGTGCAAAACTCCGCCCCGTGTCCTGTTGTTTACAATTATACAGGCTGCTGGCTCGCCCATGATGTTACATCTTCAACACCCCATCATTTGGCGATTCCGTGCATCATATATTTTAAACACGCACCCTCATTTGGCGGTTGGGATTCATCATATATTATGTTAAGCACGCCCCCTCATTTGGCGGTTCGGGTTCATCATATATCTTAAACACGCCCCCTCATTTGGCGATTCACCGCCATTTGGCGACTCCATTTCATCATATATCATAAACCTGGAATTGCCTTCTCATTTGACTCTGGTTCGTCGTATATCTTAAACACGCCCCCTCATTTGGCGATTCCAGTTCATCATTAATGTTAAGCAAGCCCTCTCATTTGGCGATTCCGCTTCATCATATACCTTAAACACGCCCGCTCATCTGGCGATTCGGATTCATCTTATATCTTAAACACGCCCCTTCATTTGGCGATTCCGCTTCATCATATAGATGTCTTAAACACGCCGTCTCATGTGGCGATTCGGGTTCATCATATATCTTACACATGCCCGCTCATTTATTGCTTCCGATTCTTCATTTGTCTTAGGCACGCCCCATAATTTGGATTCCGGTGCATCATGCATCCTAAACACGCCCCATCATTTAGCGACTCCGGTGCATCATATATCTTACATACGCACCCTCATTTGGCGGTTCGGATTCATCATTTGGTATATTATGTTAAACACGCCCCATCACTTGACGATTTCATATAATTATCCTAGATACGCCCCCTTATTCGGCGATGCCGGTTCATCACATATCTTAAGCAAGCCCTCTCATTTGGCGAAAACCAGTTGAAATTTAGAAAACGGCAAAACACGAACAACTAACACAAAGCCCATAAAAAACCTATTTGCAGATCCGGCTCATCACATATCTTAAGTGTTAAGAACACCCCCTCATTTGGCGATTCCGGTTTCATCATATTATATATTCATTCGGCAGGAGGAACTGAACAGACCAAAGGGACCAGCAGACCAGGGAACCAGAAGAGAGGTGGCGGGGGGGGCCAGGAGACCAGAAGACCAGGGGACCAAGAAGATCACGGGACCAGGAGACCAGAGGGCCAGGGGACCAAGGGACCAGGGGACCAGAGAGGACCGCGGGACCAGGGAATGAAGGGGACAGGGGGAACAAAAAAGGGAGCACAAAAAAAGAGGGAGGGGGAAAAAAAAAAAAAACGCCCTCCCTTTAAAGTCCTAGAGGACGTTTGTGATTCTCCTCGCCTCGCCCATCTGCATCAGATCATCTTCAGGCTTGGCTGAAGATGGAGACACGTTGCCCTCCGCGTCAAGGGCCTCAAGAGGCGGCAAAGCTCCGTGCTTCCGCGCAAAGAGCCCCAACGAGAACTAGGAATCCTGGGACTTCAGTCAGTGACAGTCATGTACCCCAAGGTTTGACAAACATGCTCGCACTTGAAGCCCCCAAAGACTTGTGGAAACAACAATGCTTGAACGGACTGTTTCTTCGCATCCCGCGGTGAAACTGTGACATCGTTCCGTCCACAAGTGCAAATTTGCATTCGGAGTCAATTGATCTTTGCATGATGACACTCGTCATCACAGCAGCTGCATGGTGGGAAATCCAAAGCAAGCTTCGAGATTTCTGCTTCCTTCCGATTCCTTCCCGTCCCAATTCCCAGTGGCAACTGGGATCGGGCGGAAGTATAAACCTTGAAGCATGTTTTCGTCACCATCGGTTCTCGCATTCGTGATTAACGTGGACATCGGGGGAGGGGGGTTCTAGACTGTAAGACAGGTATGGTCAGCAATGGGCAAGAACAACCACAGCACCGCAACCCTGAGGCTCCCACCCACCCTCTGCTTTCGCAGGCTGTTCGCGCCGCAACGGCATCAATGCCCAGCATGGCGGCGACGCATGACAGCGACACGACCTGCTCGGAGGCCAATCCGGGCAACCATAGCTACGAATGTTACGCGAGACTGGCACCTTGTATGCCTTCCCGATCTTCTCTAAAAGTCCTTCTCGACTTCTGGAGACTACCTGCAGAAAACAGAAAAGTCGCACCCCGGGGCTTTCTCTGAGTCGCGAGATAACCTCGGCCACTAGCGGCTGCAAGCGGCTGTCCCAAGGAGGACCCGCCTCCCGCGAGGTGCATTAAATCGCTCCGGCCATGTTTGAGGCAAAAAGGCAAAGCCCCATGTAGAACCATGTATGCAGATGTCCCACAAATTGCCCCTTGCATCCAGGCTATCTGGAATCTTGGGATTTGGATGGCCGCCTGGAGCTGCGCGAAAGCTTCGGCGTATTGCCTGTCAGCCACTCACAAAAATCGTGCCCCACTTTCAAACCGGTGCTTCTCAAACCTCCGCCATCGCGCGGCTAGAACCTCAGCTCGGCTCACTGCACCACGACACGGCAAAGTGTGAGGATTTCAAAGGCGAGTGGCCTGCGCCGCTAGTGCTACAGGCGAGGCTCTGGTATGTGCTCTGTGCCTAGTGGGTACTTTGCGTCCAACGTGTCAACCACAGACAGAAACTATTGCCAGCTACGCGTATCCACTGCTCAAACCCATCCTGCCGAGACCTGCAGAACCCGAACTTGCGTTCTGCATGATTGTGAGACGCTAGTGGAAGGTGTCGCTCTCCAACATGTGGCCTCTGCCACAAACGTCTTGCGTGAGGAACTGCTTCGCAACAGGGTGCTGCTATGCTCACCCTCTTGTCGAGATCACGGGATCAATGTGAATCGCTGACTCCGTGCAGCCAGGCCACCCGGTGTGCAGCTGCAGCTTGGGGATACTGCTGCACTGCTGCCGGTGTCCTACATCGGATTTGCCATGCACAACCGTATCACGACATTGACGATGCTATTCTGGCTCCTCTTCCAAAGGAATCGTGCTGAATCCAGTTGGCCTGCACCAACAGCATGTCTGCGACAGATGCTGTGAGGTTCAGAGGCCGGACAGCCGCTCCGCCTTCTAAAAGATATGCCAGCAAGTGCACGGCGCACAGGAGGCCCTGCTGTTCCACCTGCGCGAGCTTATAGAGGCAGATTTTTGCGAAGGGCCGCTGGACATCGGTGGCGACGGCGCTGGTTCTGGTTTTGGCTGCAAGAGCATTGGTGGTGGTCAGTGGTGGTGGTGGTGGTCAGTGGTGGTGGTGGTGGTGGTGGTGGTGGTGGTGGTGGGGGGGGCCGACGGTTCAAAATAACGACCAAGGGTGACTGAGTTTCACTCACAACGCACGCTTCTCGCCTGTTCAGGTGAGGGCGGCGCAGTGCTTGGATCCAGCGACAACGGCGCGAGCTCCAGCTCCTGGCTTTGAGATGCTTTGAGCACAGAAGCCCCGGAACACCGGCCTGGGCTTGGAGCTTGGAGCACACACCGAATCCGCTGCTTTGAGTTGTTTTCTTCAGGCCCACCCTGTACTTCGCGCGAAAAGACAGCAATCGTCATCCAAGCACGGCATTGCTTCGGCTTACGGCCCTCGTAGAAAAGCAATGACCGACCCCCTCTGCATTGCCTCAAGGCCTTCTCTTGGTCGCAAGCACATTGCAGGCTTGTCATCGAATCTTGGAAAACTTGAATACGACTACAAGTGAGATCCCATTCTGCCTGTGGCTGAGCTTCTGAAAAGTTGCGCCTCGCATGCGGAGAGGATCTCTTCGAAGCGCCCCGCTGCAACGAGCTGCAAGACCTTCACAACGCCGTGTGCCCAGGGCACGGCTCTCCCTTCTCTGAGCTCTATAGGGCTTAGGGAGTTTAGGATTTAGGGTTTAGGGCTTAGGGTTTAGGGTTACAGGGGAAAGCCCACCTCCGCGGCCCTGCTGGCCCCCAAAGCTGCGATCGGCGCCTCCTGCCGAGAAGCCCTAGAGAGACACAAGAACACGCGAAGCTCTGCACTTAGCTTCATTCGAACCGGTTGCGCGGCTCTGTTTCCGGGTTCAGCGAGATCAATGGTCTTGGTGAGCTTCGTTTGAGCTGGATTTCCCACGCTGGCCGTCCGCTTCTTCCTGGGATCTTTATTAATTAGGGTGCCTTACCTTTGTCGTTGCTTCCTGCTCATAGCTGGGAGTGCGGCATTGCTGCATCATGTAAATCTAAAACAGCATGCGTGCCTTTGGCTCTTTCGACAGGCTTGAAGGCTTAAGGGCTTCGTCTTCGGCAGTTTGTCAGCAGAAAGGCATGGTGCGGCTCGGCGTGCCTCGCTCATTCGGGCCGAGCGCCACGGCGCGGACCTGGTTCAAAGAGAGCTGACAATTTAGGGTTTAAGGGTTTAGGGTTTAGGGTAAGCTGCTCCACTGCACTACTGGTCAGGCCTCGATCCAACGACCACTGCGCACTGCTCTGAGCCGAAAGGACAGTTTGAGATGCAGAGTGTCCGAAGCCAGCACCACGACGGAAAAGACGGACACACAGCACAAGTGTCAACTGGAAGCCTTTCTTTCTGAGACTCTTCGAACCGAAATCGATGGTGCGTTACATGCTTGAACAAACATGCATCGTTAACTGCACGACCCAATTGACCGGTTGGGCGGCAACTCTACCACGACCACCACTTCAGTGCATTTCCCAATTGCAGAGGTAACGTGCATTTCCCAATTGCAGAGGTAACACTTGCACAGTCACTGAAGTGCGCGGTGGCGAGTTGTACATTAGCTAAGGGGCTCGCAGGTGCCGCAGACTCGAGTCACGAATACTTGAATGATTACAGATGACCTTGCCGACGTAGTGCGTTTGTTGTGGTTTGGGAGCTCAGCGGCCTGCGATATTCACAGGGGCGGCTTCATTCGGAGACCACCCAATGGGTCCACCTTGTTTGGCGGACTCTGCACATCTTGGTCTTTCTCCTCCTCCTTTTGCTGTACCGTCTTGAGCGTGCCTGCACCCAGCTCCGAGCTGTGAAGACTGCATTTCTCTGCCCCACGAGCACATTACACAACGTGGCCTTGGCTTGCTCGCAAAGGATCAGCCAAACTCGATGCAGATGTCGGCGGTGCCTCCGCGAAGGCAATGGTGCGTACTAACAGGAATCCAGGTTGCAGACTGCGCCTTGCTAGGCATCGGGAGGGGAGGCCCAGGCGACGGCCAAGGCGGACCAGCAGGCCCAGGCTCGCCAAACAAGGAACTCAGACTGCTCCGAGGAGGCCCTGACGATGCTCCGAGCCCCGCCTGCACTCCGAGGATCTCAGTCACTCTGCTCCTCTCCTCTCTGCTCTCTCTTACTCCATAAAATTGCAGTTCAGGCCTTTGCCAAAGGGCCCGGCTTGATGAAATCGTCATCGTCGTCGTCATCAAATATACTGTTCATTGTTCGACCACTCGGACCTTTTGTTCCACCGAACAGACTGGGCCGCTCGGGAGGCTCGGGCCGCTCGCTTTCGATGCCAGAAGCTCTCTCTGCTGACGTGGGCTCTGGCAGACTCATGGCTGCCTTCTCTACAGGTTCCACTCTTTCCTCTTTGACGTCCTCCTTTGCCGGCGCAGGGAACTCCCGCTCGCTGTCTTTTCTGGGTGCAGCCGAGGCAGGGAAGCCGCCCGGCCCCGGAGCTTCGGAAGGCTTTTCGAACGGGTCTAACACTGCAGGAGGGGCCCCGAAGAGACTCGTAGATTTAGCAGATGCAGCTGGCTTTGTCGGTTCTGGCTCCCATGCAGCATCGCTGTCCGAGCCCGACGAGCCTGAGGATATCCGTTGCCGGAGGGCAGCCAAACGACCAGCGGCTGTCGACTTCACAGACGTTTCGGGAGCTGCCTTCGACACAGCCGACACGGTCGGCTCCACGGCTTCAGCTGTGAAAGTCTGGGCAGTTCCCGACCCTTCGGCCATCGGAGCTCCGGGTGTCACAGACTCCACGGGTTGACCCGCACGTGCCGGATGGCCCGATGCTGGCTTCGCAGCTAAGAAGGATGTCGCCGAGGTCTTGTCATCGTCGTCGAAGATGGAGGCCATCACGCTCCTTGCACCTCCGAACAGGGAGGGTCGCTCGGCTCCAGCGCCCGCCGACTCGGGGCTCTGCGAAGGCTCGGCGGCTGCCAGCGTCGTCGAGGAGGGAGCCGGAGTCGCAGCAGTCGCAGTAGTCGCAATCGGCGACGTGGGCGCATCGAAGAGAGCTGCCACGGCGCTGGCTGCGGAAGGTCCCGGCCGGATCGGAGTAGGCGGAGGCTTGTTGCCAAACAGGGACGTTGTGCCCGCACCACCCTGCGGCTCATCACCTCGCAGGCTTTCTGCAGCCTTTGTTCAGAACCCTCAAAAACAAGATTGCAGCGAAGAGGCCGAAGAGAGATGCCTCGGCAGCCTTGACACCGTAAAAGGACAACTCCCGGCTCTGACTCCGAAGTCGTCCGAGCTCGGAGCAGGTCTGGCTTTAGCGCGAGATGCAGCCGGTGCAGGCATGGCAGCGGATCCCACGGCGTTGTCCGAAGATGGCTCCTGAGCGACATGCTGTCTCATTCTGGGCCTCGGAGTCACTGGCTCGACTCTGTCCGACTCTGTTTCTACCCTCTTGTGAGAACGGTCGACTTCCTCGAACAGGCTCTCTACGGCCTTCGGCAGCTTTGCAGGCGCCTTGCAACCACTCCCACAGGGCAAGAGCACAGGGTAGTAGGAACCTGACTGATTTAGAAACCTCTGGTTGCAGATCCGCAAAGGATTGAAGAAAGGAAGCCTCATAAGAACCAGGGGTTCTTGATCCCGGCTCCTGCGGTACACTCTCCCATTCCCATTCTCTGCTAAAAGTATGGCCTTTGGCGGCTCGGAATCGTCGGTCTCCGGCAAGGCTTTACGAGGAAGCGGCCTTGCTGCACAGCAAGCTCAGAGCTGAGACGAGCGCGAGCTGGCGTTACCCTGGGGCTCCCGCTCGGTCACTGCTGCCAGTAGGCCAACGCCTTCGATGAAAAACGTTACCCGAACCGAGGCTCGTCGCTTCCCGCCGCTTCCCCGGCCCGGCCTTTCCCCGAAACCTGCGGGGGATCGTCGGAACTCCTGACCGCACCCGAAGCCAACGGAAGAGGTCACAGACGCAATGAGAGCAAGTCCAGGGTGGAGGCAAGCCTACGGATGGGGCGCGCTCACTTGTCTGCCTTGCGAGCAGGTCTCTTTGAAGTCTGCGCCGGCTCGTGATCACCATCGGTGTGCTCACTCATACCAGCTCTGTGCAACGGTCGAGAGAAAGCTACGTTAGCATTCACTTGTCTAACCGTCGGCAGCTCTCGACAGACCATGACGTTTCTCCCGACAAGGCTGGTATCTGATGCTTGCGCCGCCTCTTCGAGCATAGTCGACCGTGCATGACTGTGTCTAACAGTCAATGCCAAGCGACGTTCATCACAATCTTCAAAACCCAAAATTTCATTGCCGGAGCTTCCGAAGTCGACTGACAGGGTCTCACATCGAGTAGATTCAGTAGGTGGATATCATGGCCAGTCTGTTCAGAAACCCAGATGGCAAAACCCTCGAAAATGTCACTTTCAGTGTTCGACACAATCTCCGTTCCATGCCGGCGCGTTTACATGAGGACTTGCTAACTTTGTGCATCTGGTTCTACACTTTCGCGACAGTCGCCAGCGAAAACGCCACCCCTCGTCGCAGCTTTGCAGCTGCAAGGCATATGCCGAAGCCCAAGACAGCTCGCGTGGTCTCAAAGAGGAAAATCGGAGCTGGGACCCTGGCACAGACCATCCAGAAACCTTGCGGCCCCCCCTTGCACGCTTTCTGCACTTTGCCAAGGTTGATGCGTCCAGCTTGAAAGAAGCCATTAATGCGCATCAATCAATCATAGTTTACAACATCATAGAACTATAGTATGGAAGTGCACTACTACGTAAACAATATCGACTGCGGGCACCGGACTTCCAATTCACGCAAGTGTGGACAAAATGATTCAAAATTTCCTCGGAAGATGTCCACGGGCACTCATAGCTCAGCACCTGGGGATGAGAAACAGAAAGTGGAGCAATCGAAGGAAGTTGACCATTCTTGGGCTTTCCGAGAGCCTCTTGCTTGTTCAGCTTAAGAGGGTAGGGACACTCCGCAGCTACTTGTCCCCAACCCTCCCGACATGAGTGTAGTGTCCATACACAAACAAAGTCGGCATCTGGTCGAATGCCTGGCAGGCATACATACACTGACTAGCACATACTTTCACCTGTGCCAATATTGTGGTGTCCGACCATGCAATTGGCATGCTTTGTCCCCGACTGTGTCGAGCTTCTTCTGGAGACCATAGACACTGCGTGGGCACTGTTCTGCAGGGCACCGTAGTGCTTGCTTAACCTCCGTTTGTTGGTGCAGTCTCTGGCCGGCCAGATGTAAGACTTGTAAGACCTTGAATGGAGCCGTTTCAACGTTCAAGTGACATACTTGTTGGGCAGCACGCAACATCAGAACTCACAAAATCCAAAGATCTCCAAACCCCAAACCCCAGAATGTCGAAGCAATCGACAAGCTGTCCTACATCACAACCTGGCAGGTCTGTCTGAACACAGGCCAGACATAGCACGAGCTCGAGGTTAGGCTTGCTTCGGGCTTGGCTTTCTTAAGTTATCTTTCACGTTTTTGGGTTCGAGGCTTAGGACTTAGGGTTTTGGCGTTCGCGCTCTGGGACGATGACTATGGGGCAAGGACAAGCGACCCATCCCATGACAACCGATAAATGCTTAGGATACAGACCGAGAGGCAACAGAAACAAGAGCAACAGCAGGCATGAGAGTAACTCCTCGACCACCAAGCTTTTTTTGGCGGTGTCAGGGGCTACTGCAGCTGAGGGATCTCAGACCCTCATTCAGCACTGCCTTGCGCCAATCTGTCAGCTGGGGCGCCAGAGTCCGGAACCCAATGCTCCTTAGACTTGATGGAGCTGTCGCGCGCCCTTGCCTTCCAGGCCGGACTCGCACAACCTGAGTTGGCCAGACTGAAGGCGCCCCCAAGCAACTCAGAACCTCAGAGACCTCACTAGACTTTTAGTTTAGCGCAGCTTCGGAGCTCAAGGAGCGCTTGGTCGCACTCGAACTTGCAGTCCATGCAGAACACGAAGCTTATCAAGCCGCTGAAGGATTCCTCGGTCACTTTTTGTGGGCTACAAGAAGAGCGAAAGCGGAGGTTCAAACATGGAAACAGGCCGTCGTCGTCAACGTAGCGTTCTGATGATAAGCAGCAGTAACGGTAGTACCAATTAGTAGTTGTCGTCGTCGTCCATCAGCAGGAGTAGTGGTAGCAGTAGTCGTCGGAAGAGGAGGACGAATAGCAGCAGTGCGGCAGTAGTAGCAGCAGTATCGGCACTGGTAGTCGTTGTAGCAATCCTACTAATTAGTAGCAACAAAGTCGTCGTCGTCGTCACGGTATCAGTAGCGGTAGCAGTTGTAGTACTAGTAGTCGTCGTCGTCGTCGTCGTCGTCGTACTGCTATTGCTACTGCTATTGCTACTGCTATTGCTACTGCTATTGCGCTATTGCGAGTGCTATTGCTATTGCTATGACCATTATTTGTACTACTACCAGTACCAGTACTAATACTATGGTTATTATGATTATGACTATTCTTTCCTACTATTCACACGATGATTTCTTGCTACGACTAGCATGACTATGGTTATTCTTTTCTACTATGACTTCTTTCCGTGAGATCCGAGGAGCGAAGGCGAACTCGAAGTAGTGAGCCAGCTGCTCGCCCTGCGCACCCGGGAGCCCGTTGTAGATGCAGAGCTGCACTATCGCAATGGCCATGGAAATGCAGGTGACCTTTTGGGGTTTAGGGGGTTTAGGGTTTAGGGTTACCTGGGGGATTTCAAAAAGAGCCAAACAAAAGACAAAACTCGTTTCAGAGCTGAGAGAATGTAAAAACCCAGTGAGTGTATCCTATCCTGCAGGTGCCCTTCGTACTTGGCTGCTGAGCTTCCACAAGATTGAACACCATGCTCTCATCCAGAAGCAGCTTGGCTTTCTTTGCCATGCTGTACAAAAACACAAAGTCCACCAGGGCCATGGTGATCTCCTGAAGTCGAACTGCCATGCAGACAAGCACGAGCCTCATGATGCTTTGGCCGTTGAAGGAGTCACAACCCAGTCACAACCCGTCAAAGCTCAACAATACTCCGGTTAGACATACCACCCTGCCCTGCAGTATCATCTCAAATTTGCTTGCGTCTGGGTCCCGACATTCAATGACTACGGATCCACGACAGCGCCGCTCCCGTTGCGCTGCACTAGCCCTTTTCCTAGTTTCAGTCTCGCAGATTTCATCTGAGCGGCATTTACATATTCAATTTCGTGTGCGATGACCTCGAAGCGCTCGAGGCTGGCAGTGACGAGCACCGCAGGCACAACTGTAGAGACGACGTTGAGGGCCATAATGAGCTTGACGAGCTTCCTGGCGTTTTCTAGCTGATTTCCCAAAGCGCTGCCGACATCCCCGGACATGCATTGAACCTCCATGGCATCCTGGGCTCATCTAAACGGTTCGCCCCCCATGGGCGCAGAGACTCCGAGAGGAACACTGGAGTGACGAGGCCAGCAGCCAAAACCGGCTCAATCCTCCCTCGAGTCTGAAGCCTAAACCTCAAAACCCCAGAAGAGCCATCTTGCGACTGAGGAGGCGATCTTGAGAAGATGTCCTCAAAGTCCCGGGGGCAGCCTGCGACAATTCGCTGATCTCTCCGACTATACCATACTGCAATATACGAGGTTTGGGGTTTAGGGTAGATTATGCTATAGTTACTATAGCTATATAAGGACTCGAGGTTTGATGCTTTGGGACTGGAACATCTTCCACTGACCGTCAAAACCATCTCACGTGCGCTGGAGTTGACGAAAGCTTTCGCACCTGTGATTGAAGTGTGTTGGAATTTGGGGGAAGGCGGGTTGCTGCGTTTGATAGCTCAGCGCTCGCGACAAAGCGAAAGTAGATTAGGGTGAAGGCCGAGGAGAGGAAACCCATGGTATAGACTATGGTCATAGTATATGATAGCCTCGAATATTGAATATTGTAGTATTCTGTCTAGTTTGAGAACAGGGGTTGGACGTGGCTGGACGACTGCATCGCTGTCCCTGGAGGAATCGGCACAGGTCCTGTCAGCCACTCCTACATAGGGTTCTTGAGACGAAGATCATTACTTGAGAAGCTCCAAGAAAATCCAAGGCCTGAAATATAGGCTTTGCTTGTTGAATCGGGTACGCAGGCCGTGGGTCACAGGACTCCACGCATTTTTTCTTTTGAAGCAGGACGGTGCGTTTTTCACATAGATTTTATTGTGCCGGTTTCTTGGGGCTTGCATTCTCTGTCACGACGAGGCAGCCGTTGAGCAAATTTGCATGCTGATACTAACCAGTATTACCATGTAATCATACCGATACGCAAAGCATCCCTGTGCTGTACTGTTGTGCTGGAAGCGCGCAGCGCGCCTACAAGGGCATAAACCTGGATAAGGGCGAAGCAAAACGTCGCCCAGAATTCAGTGAAGTGGAAGAACTGTTCGTGCTCGTCTCCTCAGGTCATGAACTGTAGTAGAAATGTCTGCGCATGCGTGTTCTGACTTGCCCTTTCGACTTCCCTATCGTGGTCAGCAAGCGAACCAGCAGCAGACAAGTCAATGCAATCGAGAAAAGTAAGTGCCGGTCGGAATTGGAGATCCATGGAATTCAAGATTGTAGTGCAGATGTTGATACCGACATATACCAAGCTGCATATAGCCAAGTGCCTCTGCTCGGCAACACTCCAGCAACTCACCAAGTTCTTTGTCAAGCTGGGTGCTGGCGGACTGCTTCTCTATCATGTCACGGTTCTGTGCAATCTAAACATGGTCCAATCCGAGCCGCAAATTCGTCCTTGACATCGCACGTAACCGGTGCAGCATCTCCGTCATCATGACTTCTTCCATCCTGACCAGTGCGAATGTACTGCTGTTTTATCATGGTTTAGCAGATCCTGGCTGGGCAGGCTGAGGCTGAGGCACGATTGCAACTTAGGCTAGAAGCCGTCCTGGAGGTTCGAGCCATGTTCCAGTTGAGGCTGTTGATCTTGTCCGTATGCCTGGATACAGGGGAAGCGAGGAGCAATCCAAAAACCCACGCTCCAAGTCCAGCCGCGACACGCTTGGTATGCTGTGATCGGCTCATCGTTCTCAGCGAGAGGAGTCTTCATGGCCATCGCTCGCGGGAAGAGACCGTCCGCAAACGCACGTTGGTAAAGGCTGGGGTTGAGCAAACTGTTCGCATTTTTTCTGGGATGCAGAGCAAGGCTTGTACTTGAGACATCTGAAGCTGGGATGCAGCTACTTGAGCCCAGGATTCGGAGGAGCAGCTTCTGGTGAATCTCTGCTGCTGGTTCCAGGATGTGCCAGCTAACGCAAGGTAAGATCCGGCGCTCCTGATTGCAGAGGGATCTGAATCATCAAAGAGGAGGGAAGCAGCTTTCGGCTGCTTCGGTACAGTCGTCCTTAGACATGTTGATGCAGCGTCACGGCCCATGCGGCCAGCAAAGGATAGCTGCCAAGCTCCCAGCGAAGCTTGCGCATCGTCAAAGATGCCCCCGCCCGACTTCGGCAGCGCGGGAGGCGGCTGGCCAGAGCTCGTGCCCAGAGGTCCCAGAGCACCAGCTCGGGAAGCTGCTTTCGGCGCGACCTGGAACAGGAGATGTGAGAGAGCAAGCTTCGAGGTTTAGGGTCCTTGCCGGGAGCGGAGGAGCATGGCCAACCTTCTAACCTTGGAAATGCCCCTTATCTGTTGTACCTCGTCATCGAAGAGCGGATCGTGAGCACGTGGTACCGGTGCCTGGCAGCTTGGCGCTTGGCGAATGCTAGCCCAACCGTTCCTCCGACGAAGCAGCCTTTGCGGTGACCGCTCGGCTCTTACTTGCCTGGAAGATCCGACGAAATAACCAGCGAGCGAAAAGAGGCCCCAAGCAGTGCCCATGCTGAGGAGATCACTGGCACCGGTAGCGGAACATCATCAAAGAGTGATGCTGCGCTTTTTGGCACAGCCTCTGCGAGCTAGCACACTCCTCGCTCTCTGCCCTTGCCCCCCCATGGGTGGCCTTGGCCTTTGCCGATGCTGGCTCTGCATGCTCTGCGACCTATTCAATTCCACATGCAGATCACATGAACGTGTGCTCCTCCGGCTTCTGAGGGTTTCACTTTCGCAGGAGGCTGCTCGGAAAACAGCGATGGCCCTGGCGCTTTCTTCGGGGAGGGCGACACCTCCACACAGCCAGCGTTTGCCAAGCAGTGTGCGCTCAATGCCATTTGCGAGAGGTACAACTTTCAAGATACATGTCAGGCCGGTACAGCGAGACTCAAGCTTGATGTGGACGACGACCATCAGGTCAATAATTAGGGTTGCACGTCTGCGCATGCCCCCATGTGCATGATCAAGCGGAATCTATACACACCATGGAACTGACAGCACATGCCTAGCCATTGCAGATTGCGGCAACCATGCATGCATGTCGCGGAAAACTCGATTCACTGTTCGTTCAAAAGTCAAACGCACTCAAGCACTGTCTCTGCGAAAACTGGTTTTGCAATAGGAAAAGGGCCCGACTTTCATCACGGCCAGGGCTGCAGGTACACAACAGAGCATCCTCTGTCGCTTCAGCATCACTTAGCAGCAGCTTCGTTGGGCAGGCACTGCTAAGGATGTCCTGCCCCCCTGCTGTAGCGTCGCAAAAGGAAATGTTACAATGTTTAGAAAAGCTTGGAAAGGGAAATCACATGAAGTCTGACATGCAAAATTGCTACAAGTGCAGGCAGCCCGAGAACATCATGAAGAAAATCAACATCAATCTGCAACATGTCCGAGTCAAGGTGCGTGGTTTCTCGTATGTAGAGCAGAATGACACAAACATGGGCATGATGCACTTGACGCTGCTCATGCTGATCGGTCAACAGGAAACCTGCAACTTGAATTTGCCGAAGTGTCCATTTCGGGAGAATAGCGACAAAACCCGCCCCCCACAAGTAGGAGCAGTAGCATGGAGAGGCGATCTACGAAGGATTCCTCCCTCGAGCTCCGTTCAGCAGTATTGCTAGCAATGCCATTCCTAGTGCTAGTGCTGGTAATGCTAGTACTGGTAGCAGCAAGCAGCTGCAGCAGCAGTCGGAGCAGTAGCAAGACTATGAGGCGGGCTGAGGGGGGGAGCGGGGCTGAAAGATCGGGCCGCAAAGGGGTCCGGGGGAACCCCCTGCTACATGCCTTTAAAACCTTAAGTCTCGTCTCATAAAGCCTCTTGTTAGCTGGAGGCTTCTGTCACACCGAAAACTCGTCTCTCGTGACTGAGTGAGCACTTGCATGACCGCAAGATGCCGGTTGGCGTCTCACATTTTAACATACGGCTACACAGCAAAACAACGATAACACACACGAAATACCGATCGCTGGTCTAGATTCTAGATTCTAGATGGTCTAGATGCTGCATCGTCTGCTGGGTTGAGAAAACTCTACTCAGCACCTATGCATGTACTCATTCGGCCTTCAACCGTGCAGTGCAGTCTAGCCTTTTCCCCCCACACTTGAAGTACTGATGCATTATAAACTGTTGGGAACCTTAGGACACGTCCCGACATCACGTTCAAGCAGTATGCGGAGCACCTTCGTCTTTGCTGCTGGACGTTTTGCAGGTTCATCGTCATCGAAAAGCGAGGCCATGCCACTTTTCAATGTCAGCGGCGCCTGCGATCGACAGGTTCATTTCTTGACCCGTCTTGACCAGAGTGCGCCTTCGGCTGCGGAGCGCCGGAAGCGGTCTCGTCATCGAAGAGAGAAGATGTCCCAGCTTTCAAGGTCAATGGAGCCTGACGGTCCCCGAACTACCCGTTCGACACAAGGTCGCGACAAGGAGGAGTCATTAGTCTTGGCAGCGCTAGGCCTAGGCTTCACGACACCGTACGAGCTTAGCATGGCGAGGATTGAGTATCGAGCCTGGCCCCTCTGCAAGTTTTCGAGCAGCATTTCGCAAAACTTTCCGTACCGCCGAAGGGCCCTCCGAATCTTCAAATGTTGGATCCCCTATCCGGCTCTGCTACAAACTGCACCGAGTCATACTGCACACTCTTGCAGACTGTTGCAGTTGCCGTACGTTGCAAGGAATCCTAGACAATCCAAGAGCTTGTAGGGAACTTCAGGCACTGCAGAAAGGCCCTAAAGTGCAACGGTAGGAGTCGGTTAGTCGGGAATCACAGCTCATTGCAAAGCCGTCTGCTTACGGCTCCTGACAATCTCCCAAAGGCGAAGGAATTTCAGGCACCATCAGCTCAAGTTGAGGCTTTGCGATCGAAGTCTGAAGGAATCTGGTGGCCTGTCACTGCAGCTTGAAGGTAAAACAAAGGCTGGTGCCTTCGCTGGTGGTGATGGGGCATCATCGTCAAACAGCGACGATGCTCCACTTTTCGCAGGCGATGCCTTCGGCAATTGGCAATCTGCAAAACTCGCTCTTGCCCACCTCCGTTGATGGCCTTCTGTGCTGGGGGAGCAGGCTCATCGTCAAAGAGCGAGGCCATGGGCTTCAACGAAAGCGCCTCCCAACGGCAGACTTCACCCACGCGCGCCCGCAGGCGGTGCTCGAATTGCGAGTTCTGCAGACCTTCGGATCCGCGGGCTTCGCCGGAGCGGCAACCTCCGTTTTGCTCGCGGCGTCACAAAACACCCGGTGTGGCAAGCTCAGGATGCGGCCGGCGCAGGCATCTCCGGCTCGTCAAACAGCGAGGATGTTCCACTCTTCGCGGGGGATGTCTGGGCCGCCTTGGCTCAACATGTCAACTGGCAACGGCCAGAGTATCTCCTAGCGTTCAGCTCGAGGTTTGCACCTGTGAGCTTGGCACAGGTAAGCTGCCGCTGTCGTCGAAAAGGCTGTCGGTAGGCCTCCGAAACGCAGCACCGGAGCTCATGTCCGATTCAACCTTAGCGCACCTCGAAGATGGCTTCCCACCAGGCTTGCCTTTGCCTTTGCCCTTGCCTTTCGCCTGTTACGGCAAGGCGCAGACCCTGACAGCCTGACTGTTGCTATGAGGCCTTGGGACCAGGAACTGGAAGGGGTGGACCGCCGGCACCGACCGGTCCACCAGCATCCTCTCCCTGACACACGAGTCATCGATGCAACGATACTAAACGTGCTCTCAATGCTCGATGTTGCACAACACAGGATCTACGAGAAGAACGCTTGGCTTACTCAAACTGGCTTGTGCAATCCAGGACTAGTTATAGTGCGAATGACCTATGAAGCAGCAAGAAAAGCCAGGGGCTGGGACAGCTGCGCTGACAATTGCTTCACAGTCACCGGAAGCATCCTTCCCTACGGTCGTAGTAAGCAAGTAGCGAGGTAGTAGTAGTAGTAGTAGTAGTAGTAGTAGTAGTAGTAGTGGTGCTCCTCCTCCTCCTGCTGCTGCTGCTGCTACGACGACGACCACTAATACAGCAGCAGCAGCAGCAACAACAACAACAACAACTACTACTACTGCTACTAACTAATGATCATAATAATAAGAATAAGAATACTACGACGAATAAAGAACTGATGGATCCATCTTCGAGGCAACTTTTGTCCACAGGCTAGGCATCTTCGGGCTCTCTTTGGCCATGCAGCTCAGGCTTTGGATGAAATCGATGCAGCGGCTGCACCTTTCGTGGCAGAATGGAGCTGCACTGGGGCGGCGCTTCTTTCTTTCTTGCGTGCTTCTGTGCCGTAAAGACGTGAGCGCTTGGACGTGCCTGACACCCGGGCCCAAAGGGGCACAGGTCCAGCAATGGCTTCGCGTCCGAAGCTGCTCCGCGGCGCCGATCGTGGCCATTGTCGATGGCCTTTCCTGAGTCTGAGCTGTGTCTTAGGGCCAGAGAGTCCCAGTCCCAGTCTCACAGCTTTCTTAAGTGTCCTCACAAGAGTCAAGCAGTAAGTCCCTAACATCCTCTCGTTGTTAGCCAAGGCACGGCACAAGCTTTGGAAGGGCTCACGTTGCCTCTCACGAGATGCCTCCGACACATGCGAGGCAGCGACTGCTATTCCGCACGGATTTCCGTCGGTCCCCAAGGCAGCGGATCCCTTGACTGGCACATCTTCTTCACCTCCTCCCCTCGTCTCATCCTCTTCTAGTCACCCAGCCTCGGCGTGTGAATCCGATCCAGGACGCCCCCGGAATAGCCAAGGAATCGTACATGCAGGTTGGGAGACCTGACAGGATCTCAGACTGCTCAAATCTGTGCAAGAGATGATGCGCGACGTCTGTGCCAAGAAACCAGAAGCTTGAAAATTCAGGATGCATGCATTTATGCCTGTGTAGAAATCTTTCATGTTCCAAGAGTGTGCCTCGACTTCCACTTCCTCGCGCCCAGATCCCAGCTTCAAGCGACAGACCTCCAAGCCCGATCCGAACCTCAAATCGATCGAGGACTATCGGCAGAGTATCGGAATCCTTTGGGGTCCTCGGCGGCCGGGCTCCAGGCGGGCTCTCTTTGCCCTGCGTGTCGTGCCAGTCGCAGACCCGCTGGAGCAGGGCTCGCCAGAGCGTGTAAGCCGTGTAGGCATCGATGGTCGCCCCTCTCCATTCTTCGTTTCGGGAACCGGGGAGCAGGGACAGCAGCCGGGCCTTCGCTGCTTCCATCGAAGTCTCCGTGATCCATATCTGGATCGTGACTCCACACAAGATCCTTGCAGCCAGGCGAGTGTTCACCTTTCTCTTTCCCCCCGAAAACTTTACAGCTCGGCCAAAGTTCGCTGGGAGATCCGAAGCTCTTGGTGTAAAGCAGCCCGCGCTCGCTGTACATCCCCCAGTGCATCGCCACGTGCGCAACGGCCGGCATGGCAAATCCATGCCTTCGCTGGTCTTTCAATGAACTTTTCCTAGCAATCGCCTGAGACAGCCTTTTACAATTATCATTCTTCTTCTGCTTATTACGATCATTGTCAATTCGAAAATTACTACTCGTGTTGTTAGTCTTATGATCATTGCTGCCATGATTGTCAAAATGGCCATTCTTACCATTGTTATCCATATTATCTCTCTATTATCACTATTACCCTTATTATCAGTACTATTGTCCTTCTTATCCTTATTATCCTTGTTGTCCCCAGTATCCTTTGTATCCTTAGTATCATTATTCTTATTGCTATTAATTGCACTGATTTTGCTGTGCATCTGAGGAGCAGCGGCTCTACGCTGGCCACCTCGCTCCAACATCGGGCAGCGCATCGCAGCTGCCTCATCTCGAAGCGCTGGTGCTCGGTGGCCTTACTCAGCGGCGGCAGCAGCAGCAGCAGCAGCAGCGTCTCTAGCTCTACGTTTGTTGAATTCTCGTGACAGTGAGGTGCGCACACAGCATGAAGCTGCGATCAACTGTCGGAGCTTTGGGTGATCAAACGTCACCATCGGCCCCATCAACGAGTGCAGGTGCTGAAGTGATCTTGTCTGAAAGCCTCTTTCGTATTGTTTTCCACTTTCCTACAGGGGTGCGAACAATACGTAAGTCAGTTTCCATAGAGCATGCACAACGGCTGTCTTGCGCTCGTCGGGCCGAAATGCTCCAGGTTGAACGGGCAGCGAGCTGCAACAGTCTTTGCTTGTAGTCTACATCTGCTCACTTCGCTGGCAGTCTCGCCTCGAGCGGACCACCTCTGCGGGCGAAGAGTGCGTTCAAGGAAGACACCAAGTCAGGTGCCTGCCGGGATCCAGGCTTCGCGGACTTGTCAGAAAGTTTGAATGGTGTTGCAAGGTCTGTCACGAACACCTCCTCAGCAACCGGTTTCGGCAATGCACCGTCATGGTGCGAGCTCTCCAGTGCCTCTCGACAGGCAACACATTCACACTTTGATGCGCTCTCTGCAGTCGCATTCACTCAAAGCGGGGCGGTCGCAGTTCCGGGTGCGCGCCTCGTGCTCCTCTTGCTCCGCCTGCTCCGCCTGCTCGGCGTGCTCGGCGTGCTCGGCGTCCTCCTGGGCAGCCTCGGCCTGAGGCTGAGGCTCCTCGAAACGCGGAGGACTCGGAGGGTCTTCAGCCAGGAAATCCTGCGCATATGCACACACTGCACGCGGTGAATTTCTAACCGTTTCGGACCTATAGAGCTGGAATATGAGCTTTGACCGATTTCGACGGGTCCGCCACGGACTGAGGAGCATCCCAGCTGCTATGCCAAGCCTGGCGTCATGCGATCATTGATCACGCGCGAAGAATCCACAACGCGCTCTTCTGTTGGACTCGAAACTTCGAACCGTCAGATGCCCCGTGGTCTCGTGGAGCTCCGTACTGTGCATCTCGTGGCACATTCTGCCAGAGCCCTTACCGAATGTTTGTTGCAGGAGCAGGCCTCGCTTCCAAGCACCAAGGGAAGGGCCGGCCAGTCCTCGTCTACCTGAGATCTGTCCGTCTTCCCCAGCACAAAGAGAGCCGAAGGCCATGCGGCCACGCCTTCATGTGGACGAAGTCCTGACCCAGACTGAAGGCTTGCCGGATTGCCTCGATCTCAGCCTCGAGAAGACCGCAAAGAGCCATTAAAAAAAGGTGAAAACTTGGGGGGCTCGGGCCTCGGGCGCGGTCTCCACGTCTAAGTTCGACCAGATGTCCTCTTTGGATGTGCTTCAATCTGAGCTTCAATCCCCAAGAGCCCATACTTTGCTCCTCCACAGCCTCTGCCGAGGCCTGGCGCCGCTCTAACACACTGTCAGGGGAATTTTCCGAGGCGGCCCTGGCTCTGACCTCCAGAACGGTGTCCTCCTCGGTCTCAACTCTGTGCTCCAGGAACTGGCTCTGTGCCTTCAGCGATAAACTTGGATCACGGATCACGGGAATGCACAGGCAGCCGTAGGCAGCTGTAGCTCTAGGAGCAATGCTAGGACTTCCAGGCTGCAGGAGGCCATGCGTAGCTTCAGGCCCACAGCCTGGCGATTGACGCTCGCCCAAGGACTCAGATTCTCTCCGAGACTCTAGGGGTTTAGGGTTTAAGAGCACCTCTGCTCTCTGAGTTACGATGCTGGCATATGCTTCTCACAGGGAAAAGTCGCGACTCTCCACCTCGCCTCCGCACGCCGGGCCGTCTTTTGTAGCCTCTCCTCCGTCATCTCGGCTCGCCTGACGAAGGCAGGGCCATGCTTCTAAATATTTCCGACATATGCATCCATCTATCATGTGTCTGTTTACCTACCTACCTTCCTTCCTGCCTACCCTACCGCTACCCTACCCTGCCCTAACCTACCCCTGAGGACAAAGCAATAAAATGACTTGCGAGTCCGAGCAGAGCTGAAAGCCAGGCCTGAGGATCCCGTCTCTGAGGGATTGCAGTGCCCGCAGAAGAAGCTCGTCCTGGTGGCACGTAGGCTTAGGGCCGTTTTTGTTTTTAAGGACCTTTTTCCGTCTTGCATCCAACAAGCTCGGAGAGCCTGGTTCAGGCAGGCCTGTATGCCCCCTTCGAAAATCAGACATCACTCCACGATTGGAAGCCCCTCAGAACCGCTCGAACTGTTCCGAACCCTCGCCGCACCGGTCACCTTCTTCACTCGATTTGAGCTGCAACCCCTGGGATACTGCTGGCCGCGGACCGCTTTCATCTTCTTTCGACTTTGCATCACCCTCCCTAGGCAACGAGGCTTAGGGCCGTTTAGGGTTTAGGGTTTCAGTTTTCGTATAGATTCAGCATGGCTCCTGCACCGCATCCCAACTCGACACCTGGCCATGTAGCTGCTGTAGCCTGGACTGCTGCGCAGCACTGCTATCTACATCTGCCAGAAGTCCAGCACATGTCAATGTGGGCACTCGATCTCAGGCCAACACACTGCAGCGGGGTCACCGGCCATCAATACGGAAGTCTATTGTTTGTAGCTCTAGGCCCTAGGCTGTCAGGGCAAACTCTGCCAACTGAAATATCCTAATCAGGATGGCCTTGTCATCAGGTTTGTGCAACACAACACAGGCTCCCATCATGAGTGCGCACATCAAGGGTGCAACGTGTTGAAGCTAAGATCGCTGCGAACAGCTGCGAGCCACAGACGCAGAACATCAGTTGGAAGGCATCTTCACCATGAACGACCCGAACCCAACCCAAGACGTTTTGAAGCTGCAGCTGTCACCCAGCCTTCTGGGGCCGAAAATCGGCTCGGCAGGCTTTCGGGAGGTCGCGCCCCCCGTCAAACAGAGCTACGCAAGCAGGCACCAGCGTTCCTCCTCTCGAAAGCCTGCGTGCCGGGAAAATGTGAAAGTGAGACGATCTGTGCTGGAACGGTCTGTACATGCTCTAACTTTGGAGCTCTCTATCCAAACACTCCGCGACGATTCACGCTGTACCAACCCTGACCCTCAGCATTTGCAAACATGAATGGCAGAGATGTAAGGAAGCTCCCCGATTGCTACCGACATGGGACACAACCGAGGCAGGGGCCGTCCTGATGATCCGGATCTGTCAAAAATGACCCACGATAAAGCCGCAAGAAAGAACAGGCCTATTCTCTCGCACAGAACGCCCACTCATGTGCAGACCACCTCCTCATCCAAGTACAAAATCTCAAACTTGCCGAAGGGGGCCGAAAGCCTCAGAGTCAATCGCAACAGCCCATGTCAAAGGCCAGGCGAGATCCCTCCATCCGTAGAGACTCGGGGCCCAGCGGACCGCGGAGATTCACTTTGAACGCCTGGAATGTCGCACATCGGATCGCCCTCGCTGCATGAACATAGAGTAGACCCAGCTTAAGCACCAGCGACATTTTGCCCCGCTCCGGTTTCGGGCGGCACCGCAGCCTCGCCTTAGATGATCCCAGCCCTAAAGTTGGCCATACATGCGCTCGGACATGCCAACCACAAGGTGCAGTCTTCTTCTGTCCAGAGGTCTGGCTTCTTCCTCCGCCCTCCTTTGTCTCTCCTGCTTCTCTTCCCACGTCCTTAGGCACTTTGAATGGGCCAACTGCACTGCGATCTCATGCCTGCCCACTGTGCCGAGTGTCTGTCTGGGCTTCGACGGACTCTCTGTCAAATGAGAGAGCGCAAATTGCATGGCAATCCTCCCATGCCAGTGATACGACACTCGAGCACACTAAGAGCTGTTGAGCAATCGCTGGCCAGTCATGCATGCTGCCAGGAGTCGCATATCGCGTACCGGAAGTCAACTCCTCCAAGCCGTGGTACAAGCCGCTGCGGAATATGACAACATCGCCCTTGAAAAGCTCCTGTAAGGGCTGAGAAGGCGAGAGGAGACCTGCGAGCACCCAAGGCAGCGCCTGGCAGTGCCGACGATCCACATTCCTCTTGCCAGGTTGGACGAAAAAGCGTCCGCCCTCGTAGTCCTCACCTTCAGAAGACTGCACTGGCACTGGCCAGAGTTGGTGCCGAACAGCTCCTGCCTGGATCGCTCAGTGGACACATGACCTGGAACGGGAACATTACGGTGCCCTGAAGGTCGCGGTGTGGCTCCATGAAGCCGCCAGGGCAGTACCTCAGCGCTTGCAGTTGCATCCACACGTCCACACAGCCCTCTCCTGCTGCAGCGCCTTAGCGCGATCGAGGTCGGCAACCTCTGTGGGGGAGCTGCTGCTTTGCAAATTTCCCAGAGATCAGAGATCCTGAGCAACATAGCCACAGGCCACAGCGTTGCAGAACTAGAATTCTGCTGCCACGATTTGTGTTCGCAATCTGGTCGCAGGCGCCACGACTCATGGATATGACAGACTGCACACTGCATGCGGGATGCATTGTCCAAGGAGCTTCGGGGGATAGGCCTCCAAAGCAAGCGGCTTCGGGGAAGTCTCTGCTCTGAACATCTCGATCCTTGTTGCCACTCTCACGTTCCATTCAAATCCGGTTGATCCAGATTCGCAACTCTCTTCGCAGACAGGGATCTGTGCGTTCGCCACTGGGGCAAGTGCCGTGTACAAGGCCTCACGTAGGGCGTTCAGCGGCGATGGCAGTGGCTCCCGCAAGTAGGCAAACTTTCCTCAACATGACACCGGAATGGATGGGAAGCCTCGCGACTGATAGGGCTCACAAAGATGACGAGGGGCCGTAGCCAAAGTTCATAGCCTTCCTTCGACGAGAGACAGCTTGCCAAAATCCGATTCACATGACGTCAGCTTCCACAGCGTACTGGTTGAGATGTCAGCAGATAACGTCTAGTCGGCTGTGTCTCTGATACGGCCGAGTCGCAAGTCGACGATGCGCATCGCTGCCAGATCGCCGGGCTTCGCAGGTGTGCAATCGACAAGGCCCTCAGGCCACAAGCTGTCCACATCGCCCCTCACCTCCGTCAATGTTTTTGAGCTCATAGAGTCGCAGAGCTTTCAGGTACGCAGAATGCTTCATCCACCTTGAAGCATTGAGCCAAGTGGCCATCTCACCCAAGCGCTCGATGGTCTCCTGAAGCATGGAACCCAGGTCTTTCCCAGAAAACGATACGTGGCAAGCACAGCCAGGGTGCCAGGTCGAGGAGCCTCTCCAACACCAAGAAGCCCTGAAAAGAAGGAATAGGCTGGCCTATCTTGCGATCACAGGCCAAGCCATGCGCCCGGGCCTCGGAGTCCAGCATCCGGCGCCCTTCTGCGATTCGCTTTTCCACGTCGGAGCAAATCGCCTCTTCGAGCCTTAAAATGGACGAGACAGAAAGGATAATGATAGTAATAATCATAATCATAATAATAATGGTAATAATAATTATAGTAGTAATAATAATAATTATTATTATTATTATTATAGTAATGGCGATAGTAATAATGGTAATAATCTCAAGCTGCCTAAGGGGGGGCACCTCTTCGTAGCATCCGCGTCGTCCATCGCAGCCGAAGGTCGCCGAACAAGGAGGAAAGCCCATTGCAGGTTTCGGGAGGGGGGTTATATTTTACTGCTAACATAATCAGGAACCGTAAAGCCTAAAGGATAGCAGTATTACGAATTTAAGCCTCTAATGGCTTCTAGATCATTGCAGGGCTCTTGGTGCACTGTGCTTGCGTCGCACACCTGCTTACGACTACAATCCTTGTGCCCTCATCTATGAAGTACCGGAAACACTGCACGAGCCAAACCAGCAAACAACAAAGACACATCTGGGGACCGCCGATCTTTGAGACACACACACACACACACACACCCGCGCTCGTGCTCGCTCCCTCTCTTCACTTCACTTCACTTCACTCCGGGGTCCAGGGAGCTGGTGAGGCCCCCTGCACCGAGAGGTGCGCCTCTGTGATGAGGCCTTCTGGGGGAGAGTGAGAACCCAGAGTCGCCGGCAAAAAGGTATGTTTCCCCGGTCTGCAGAAATAAGCAACAAGATCTGGATCTCTCTCTCTCTCTCATCCCGCAAACCTCTCTCGCACGTGCGCCTCTCTCTCTCTTTGCTTTGCTGGGGGCATGGGCCGTGAGCAGTCCTCACGACACGCGCGCTTGCTCAACCTCATCCTTCTGAGGGATGGGCTCGGCTGTTCAAGGGAACTTGGTGCTCCGTTTTCCGGAGGTCTGGGCTGGTGCCCTGGTCACTTCACAACACAAGTGTAGCAGGACGTTCTTTCTATTTTCGCCAGGGCTATGGAGTAGGGGAAGACCCCCTACACTGCGCGCGAGTGCGCCCCCGACGGTTGCGCGTGCCAAGTTGCAGGTGCACCACTCTGGCGGTACATCGGATTCCCCCCAAAACAAACTGCAAGAAAGCGAAGCTTTACACACACCCACTCTCTCTCCCTCTCCCTCCACAAAAAGAAGCAGCCTTGCCTCCGGCACATCCACACCGAAGATCCTGCACAGCGGCGGGCGTTTTCCATAGCCCTCGACGCAACCGGCCATTCCTGGCCTCTGAGGCGCAAGACCGAGACCTCGGATGTTGAGCTCCACCTCAGGACGAAAGCCAGCAGAGACCTCTGTGCTGTGTATCCTCTGTTGGCAGCTCTTGTTACTGAAGTTGGTGCGCTTACGCTGACCCTAACGAGCAGCTGCAGGCCCAAAGCGGGAGGCTTTCGGACAACCGCCACACTTCAACGTGGTGCGAACGAGCAGAAGTATATGCATATTCATTGCACGCGATGTTGTTTCTGTCCTGAAATTCTGGCCTCGATTGAGGCCACATGGTTGTCCTTGCATCATTGACTGGAACCATGCTCCTCGATGCCAGTTTCGCTCCCATTGGCCCATGGAAGACAAGGATCACTACGGTACCACTACTAGTGCTGCAACCGAAGGACCCATCCCGGGGCTCGGGGGCGCACCGTGGTGGGCGAGGCGACTTTGTAGTCAGTGAAGACCCGCTGGACGAAGGCATCCCTGAGCTCAGAACAGATTTGGAGCTCCAAAACCTCTCATCTCCGAGTCCCCGGCTCCAGAACAGAATCTTTGATTCCCACCGCGAAGGAAGACGGCCGATACTCAATGACATTGGCAATGGTGCCTCGCACTCCGGGCAGTACGACGCAAGCAAAGATGGCTGCTGCCACTGAGGACGTGGCCACTACTGGCATCGATCTCCTGTCCAATCCTCCTGCGATACACGACCAGATTTCCAGGCTACCACCTCCACTCACACCAATCAGCCGGGCGTCCCTAGGGTGCTGAAGGGCGAAGTTGGGATGCCAATGATGTCCTGAGGCTTGTTGCTTTTTCGGTGCAAGCTTCGGAAAGTCATGTCTGAATCTAAACAACAAGCTCGAGATGGCACAAATCATCAAATTGAGTGCGTCCAAGCTACGGGAGCATCGGTATAGATCAGCGTCCAGTTTCCACCTCGGCCAGCGCCAGGCAAGGCCATCCACAACTGCAAACTTCTGCTGGCGTGGCCAGGGCCACACCAACAAGCCCGCACGTGGGCCTTCTTTGTCCCAGGCAGGCATAAGCACGTTTGGTGCGGCACATCTTTCGACAGGGACTGTACTGCACTATGAAGCCCAAGCAAAAGGGCAGAATTCATTTGTTGCATCCACGGCCAGTGGGTCAAGTGCAACAAAGCGATATGGACATATATGAAAACTCACGATAGGAATCGAGGAGGAGCTTGCTTCGGGATCCACCTCGAGGCAAAGTTGACATGCCACAAGACCGAGACCGCAATGCAAACGCACCGTGCTTGTGTGGCCTCGGTCTCTCTTCACCGTCCGCCGCGGCGGCGCTCCCGGCTGGGCCCGCCCGCCACACGTGCACCTCACAAATAAGATTTCTGACTTGTGCCTTACGGCGATGCGGCCGCCCGGCAAACACTGCGAGGGGGCACCGCTGCTCCAAGACTTCGCTCCAGCAGTCTGCACGCCATAATTCTTCAACTCTTGGGTCAGCTCATCAGCAGCCTCCTGTCTATGACCGTCACGAAGGACCAAAATTCTGCACGAGGTGCTGTGCCCCCCTCTACTTGCAGCTCCTGCTCCTCCTTGCCGATCTTCTGAAGCAGCTCCTCTAAGCCTTCCAGATGTGACGTGTGGCAGTACAACCTACTGTATATCAGCGTCTATGCTACTGTGAGCTGCTTATACGAAATACATTCTTCAGTCCGATCATGTCTTTTCATGGCTACTGAAGAGATGCCGTTAAAGTATCTCATCGCATTCCTGTGTGTGTGTGTGCCGTGTGTATGGGTATGCAAACAAGTAGTTTATGACTCTGTCGAGGTGTTCACTGATTTATCTACCTGCCCTGTCATGCATTCAGAACCCATGCATTGAAATCTTAAGCTTGTCTAAGGTAGCGGTACCAAAAAGAAGGTATAGCCTGTTACACTTCATGACAGCCGCCTTCCACTCCGACCGCTCGTGGGCCGCTGGGAAGCGAGCTGCCCGGCAGGTTGTAGGCTGCTCGGATCACTTCCATGGCCTGGCTTTAAGAGTCACACGGAGAGTCTCGAGATGAAAGGAAGAGCCTCTGAGAAGAGCGGCCCTAATTTAAGTTACTATTATAATTATATAAGGAAACCATGTTATTTACTATAGATCCCTATTATGGTAACTTAAATCACTGTGTCGGACGACTTTGGGTTGTTGTGGGATCCAGTTCACAGGCAGAAGCCAGGAACCCCCCCCACCCCCGGGGCCCGCTGCGCAGCCTTCCCTGGCTGGTGCAACTGTAGGCATCCGCGAGCGAGCACTGCGTAGAACTTTTCGTCGGCCCGGCAGCCCTCCTCAACACGGGGCCAACCCCTTAGCAAGCTCGAAGAGGCCCCGCCGACCCGTTGAGCCTTGATCATCTTCTCGTAGACGCTCAAGGCCCTCTCGAAGCGCCTGCACTTTGCGTCAAAGCAATAAGATCGAGGCTAAGATCGAGTATGGCCTGTTTTGGAAGCAGGCATGGATCAGGCAGGTGTAGACCTGGATGTTGGGCTTCAGCCCGTTCTGAGAGCTGAGATCCTGGGGAGTATCCGAAATGTATCAAAACAGATTCTCGCTTGCACTGAGCCGGGCCTCGACCATCTGCATTGCTTGGCCAAGGCGCCGAGCGTTCCCCAGCCTCAGCCCAGCAGAACGCAGAGCCCTTGCAACTGAACGAAACGGCACTTGCAAATCGCAGATCTCGTGCAGATCCAAGCTGCAGCTTCACAAGGATGCTCAAAGTGTAGTTGCTGGGTTTAATGCCAGATGCCTTCATCTCATCCAGAAGACGCAATGCCTCGCTGACATTGCGCTGCTTGGTGCAGCCATCCAAGATCGAGTTGTACATGATCTCGTCCGGCAGGAAGTGGCCGTCTCTCCTCATCTCCTGCGCCGGACGACACGGTTCAAACAGAAGCTAGGCCCGTAGGCGCAGGTGAGACTCCCTCCGCATGGCTGCACTGCCTCTTCTACGCGAGTTCGTAAAATCTCGGTTTCGCTTGCTCGTGTCTCGAGTCACTGAACGATGCGCGATGCTCTTTCATATCAGAGTGGTCCAGTGATTTCCAAGCCTCTATTAAGCTATGAAGACTGTCTTCTGGCACATCTCAGTCATGCCCATGCGCCTCGAGAACACTCAAGGCACGCTCCACATCACCGTTCAGGCAATAGCCCTTGATGATCGTGGAGTAAGTGATGATGTCAGGCTCGATGTTGGTTTCTCGCATATCTTCCAAAAGCATCGAAGCCTTCTCCATCGCATTGCACTTCGCACACGCATCCAGCATTGTGTTGTAGGTGATGGTGTTGCAGGCAATGTTGTTGTTTCGCATTTCCTGTCAAGATCACCCCTCCCGCACGGCACGCTGTACAGCCAGGCAATAACTGTCAAAATGCCGCCTTGTACACAGCAAGCACTTTGTCGATCCGTTTAGACACCGCAAAGCCCTTCAGCACGGTCGAGTATACCACGGTGTTGATCATGCTTTTGCCTTGATTCACAATTGCAGCCTGCTGCAACCTGTCGGGCTGCTCTCAGGACCATTGGACTATTCATGCAAGAGGCGGTCATCATACTGCAATTGGTCCTCCACACCGGGGCACGCTGAAGATGTCTAGTGGCTGCCCTAAATGACCTTGCACAACAGATCGAAGAGCAGCGGTCCTGGACGAGTTGCCAGGCCTCCTCTCCCTGCTTGTTAATCACCAAAGCCTCCACCACACAGCCGATAGTGATAGCCGTCGGCTTCACATTGTGGCTCTGCCTCGTCATCTTCCATCGCCACACGGTTTGTCACTGTGTTTTTCTGAAGCCGAGCCGCAGCTGCGCCCAGAGCTCACGGACCTGGTGGAGGTGACCGGCCTCGCCAAAGGCTTTGATCATGGCCCCGTAGATCGGAGCAGAGATGTTCCTGAGCGCAGCGCAGGAACGCACATGACAATCCCGCCGCTGGCACTGGATTTGGGACTATAGCCACGGAATCGTCCAAAGAGTGCTGCTGAACGGACATCTGAGACTCTTAAACAGGCCCTTGACCTTGTATCGGCCGATGAAGTCGGAGAGGCTGTCCAACCTCTTGATTCGGATGCAGGCTTCGATGATCGACGAAAAGAGAACTTCATCGATGGGCTCCTGCGCAGCGGATCGGGCCCAAAAAAGGGGGGGGGCTCAGGCTCGCAGGTTCTCCTCCACGCTGTCAATCAGGCTCAGAACCCGAGCCTCAAGGCAAGGCTCGAGGCAAGGCCCACGATCCTGTCCGCTGTGCCGCTGTGCAACCGAGGCACCAAGTCTGTCTCAGCGGAATGCTGCGTCAACGACTTCAAGAGAATCGAGCAGGTGATCAGGTTCGCCTGGGGTAAGAATTGAGACGCAAGTAAGCCCTGCGTTTACCATGCAAGTCTTGAGGCTGTGCTGGCTCGCTCTGCAGCCTGCCTTGAGGCCGGCTTGGAGCATCTGGTCCACAATGCTCCACATGCCCACGCGATCTCGGGCAGCCACTTTCGCATTCAGGAGCTCGTTGTAGGTGACCTCTACAATCTACAGTTCTGCACGTGTATGACTTCGAGAGCACACTCGGTGCCTTGTTGGCTGCCAGCCCGCGCGAAGTCATCTCCTCAACAGCTCCAAACTGCCCTCTTCCTCTGTTGTGCCCCCACTTTTCGCCCCATTTGGCCCCCTCTCCTGCACGAGGCTCCGTGCCTCGCCCAAGCGGCCGGAGGCCAAGTAGCCCTCCAGAGACAAACTGTCTCCCAAGCTGCTTGCATTTATGGTTATCAGTTATAAGGAGGAGGGTTCGGGACTTGTCCCTGATCCGCACGGCTTTCGAGCTACGAGTACTCAGAGCTTCGCATCACTCAGCGACCGCGACCTTGAGAACCGTATTGTAGCTGACCTTCTGCAGCACTCCACTGGAAGTGGGAGGATGCTTCACAGCTTCACCTCCGTCTGAGTTGCCGACCACGTCCACGAAGCCGAGCTGCTTCATCTCCTGCGTCAACTCAACAAACACACAACCGAGATTTTCATCATTACGCCATTGCGATGCACAAAGCGTGCTTCAAAAGCGGCTCCTCAAAGAGGGACAAGGCTGCGTCAATGTCGTGGCACTGGACGCAGGCATCGAGGTAGCCTCAGACTAGAAAGCGTGCAACAACTCCGGCCGGGGACCGCAAGGCATGGCTACTGCCAAGCGGCAGTTGTAAATTTGGGACCGCATCACAACACCGTTCTTCTTCAGGCGATTGAAAACAGCTGTCACGTTGGGCAAGTCCTGTTACGACCGTTCAGCTACAAACAGGCAGCACAACATCAAACTTCGGCAAACAGTATCAAAAAGCTCAGTGAGTGTGTCATCCCGTTGGGTCCTTGTTCTTCACATAAGCCGTCATGGTTGTCACTGCACGCTGCATTTCCGCATTGCTGTCCTTGCCGTCCTGCAACACCGAGGGCTGAGCAGCCCTCAACAAGCAGCCGAGCTGAGCCGAGCTGAGCCGAGCTACCAGCATCCCTTCTTTCCAAAAGCATCCACCTGGCATCGCCTTGCTCAAGACTAGGCTCCTGCAGCGGCTGCACGCCGATCCGCTGCAGCTGCGCTTGCACTTCCGCACCGCGCTGCTCTTTGTTGGCCAGGGAAAGGATCTGTGGAAAGCTGGGATTCAGCAGAATCTGCCACGTTGCGGGGAGGCCGGCTGGGGCTAATGGCACGTTGGCATCTTGTCGCAAAAACCTCTTGCTGTCCGGATCGTAAGCCTTCCCCCAGCAGAAGACGATGACAAGGAGGAAAGTCCCCGCACCAAGGATCTTAAAGCTCATAGCACAGGCCGAAGACACAGCGAAAGCCCGAAGACACCCCCCGGCCAGGCCTGTCCCGCCGTCGAGGGCGTGAGGAAGCGTGGGCCCGAGTCCGAATCCGGCAGGCGCTCGAGCTGCCTCACGGCCTCCTCCAGCTTCCCCCTTTGCGCAGCCTGAAGTGACCCTAGGCCTATTTCTTGTCTTGCTGCTGTAGTTCAACGCGAAGTTTACTTCTTTGTGTCGATGTAACTTGCAGACTTGCAGGACTTCGTCCAGAGGGGGACGGGGAGGGTGCTTAATCCAGATCAGGCACTGCAGCGGCCAAAATGGCACGCATCTTGGGCCTCGGATCGACGAAGATGCCGCGGAACTGCAACGAGGTTGCCACGACGGCTACTGCGCTACTCGGGCTGGCACGTCAAGGAGTCTTCCGGCAACTTTGAGGCGGTGACGCCCACACCTGTCACGCAGCCCCGCGTCCACAATCAGCTGTGGCGGTCTGTTCTATGGCGCATGGCGCACCAGCAAAATCGCGACGGCGCAGCTGGGCAGCCATCAGCGCGGCCTGCAATCCAGCAAGCTTGAAGCTGGAAGAAATCTGCCAAGCACTGTGACCACGAGACATCTATGGGCCATGGGCAAACTGGGAATGCTGCGTAGGTCGACATCTCGGCTCGCTTATTCCAGTCCTGTTCAAGGGTCTTGCCTAGTCTGGTGATAAGTTGCTTCAGTTCCCACTCTCACGCGCACCTGAAGAACTTGCAGAACCGGCGGAAGAAGATCGATGGCCTCAGTAGGCTCCCAACGGGATCATCGTGCCGCTTGGGCCCCTGTGCAACGCTTCACCCCGCGCAGAATCTGAGACATGTTCATCATCACGGAGCAGTGCAGCAGGCAACGCCTCACCGTGTGACCGTTACTTCAGAGGATGGAACGGCCCAGCTGCAATCTCCAACCTCCATCTCCGAGAGGAGCTTCGCGCTCGCCGGCCCTTTCAGAGCCGCACGCAGCTCTTCTTCCACCTCTCGAAAACAAGAGAGTCTACGCACCAGAGTCCCCGCCAGATTTGGAATCCGCTGCACGCTGCGCCTCCGAGCCGGACTTGCGGAGTTGGCGCATGGCCGTCAAAGCCTGCCCAGAGGCTTCAGGCGCCCCGGTTCCCCTTCCCCGTTCTGAAAGGGGCCTTGTAGAGGCCCGAGCCGAAGCTGCCGGTCAATTCGGCACGGCCTTTCTTCACCTTCGCGAGGCCGTTATGCTGGCACATCTTGTCGAGACGATGACGGCGGGCTTCGGCCTGCTCCCAGTGCTTCCAGGATTCCTTGGCTTCCCGGAGCGGTGCGTCCTCGATGCGAGGGGCACAGCAACTCTTTTCTGACGATTTCTGTTCCCTCTCGTCAGCCTCATAGGTGTTTGCCAACTTTGCCTTCGTCTTCGTCCTGCATGGTGACCAGCAACTTATCAACGCTTTTGCTGTAGCGAATTGCCGGGCAGCCGACCCTCTCTGAGGCAAACCCATGCACCTTGGCTTGTCGAAACTCCAGCTTTCAAGCTCCATGCATCTCCGCCGCTGGAAGTGCTGAAAGTGCAGCGGGGCTGCGCCACGTAAACCAGGGCAGCAACCCCGAACATAGCAAGCTCCATCCATACAAGGGACAAGGCCTAGCAGGATAGCAGGAGGAGGCTGGGGATAGACTCAAGTCTAGAGACTGCACAGCTCTCAACTGGAAACATCCGTGGCCTCTTGGGCAGCGGATGCCATCACTGACAACGCTTCCACAATGGCCATTTTTCTTGGTGGCAGAGGTTTCCTCGGCGAGGCAGGGTTGAGCTACAGCGCTGCGATGAAACGCCAAACCACTCGAATTCCAGCCCAATCCTATGCCGCTCCCCTCACTCTCATCGACCCATCCTTGCCATGAGCAAGAGCACATCCCCTCCTTCCCCGACTTCCCGCACTACCTCACACCTGGCAAGCGCGTCTTAGCAGTTCCAATGCATTGCAATCGAAGTTCCTTCCTGAAGCTTGACGGGAAGGAAATCAGGCGGGAAGAGGTTTTCCCACCTAAGCTCCGGAAAGATCACAGCACTTCGTCTGGAAATTTGAGTCGCGTGTGCATGTGCCCTCACACTGCGACGCTATGGGTCATTCTCAGACAAGCAACGCACTGTTAAAGCGCTTGTGAACTTCAATGGGGCTTCAATCAGAGCCTTGGCAATGTTCACATGATCTGAGAGACACGCCGGACTCGAAGTGGGCGGGTGGGTTGTGCAGTTGCAAGGCAGTCACGTGGAAAGCAACAACCATTCACAGACTTGTGTGTTCATCACAGCCAAGGATCTGATCGCAGCACCTAGGCTAGGAAATTTAGGCTTGAGCCCAGTGGCGGACGGATGCATCAACTTGAAGCGAGCGGCAAGGCCCACTGAAACGAGGTGGGAAACCTTTTCGCCCCTGGGAATCAGGCCGAGTTTAGAGGTCGGGTCCGAGGTTGGATTCCACCCGACCTCAGCCAAAACTCTTTGCCTTCAAGAACTGCGCTCCCAAGCCATATCGAGACGACTGCTAGATCGGCTATTCGGCCGGAAACATCCGACCTGCACGCACATTCCACACGAAACCTCATGCACTACGGGCCATACCCTCCACTTGCCTGTTCTCTTTTGTGGCCGCGAAGCCACGGTCCAGAGACTTGATGGCCTTGCCATGAGAGACGAGCGGTGGCAAGGCCGAGGATGTGGCTGGTGCCAGCAGAGAGCTGCATGTAAGTGTGGTAATGTGTTCTTAGTTTTGTTAGTGTGTTCCGCCTCCAGCAAAGCCCCTCTCGCAGCCAGGCGCTGGCTCTCGGCCTGCTGGGGCTGCGAAGCAGCAGAGTCTGGTTGGCCAGGTCTGGGTGCCTGCAATGAAAGAGCAAGAGCCTGCTGAACAAGTAACGAAAGAAGCCGCCTGTTGTGTGGCAGCGAAGGCGGAGCCGCGCCCCAGGATCACTACAATGGTGCCCGCCAACAGCCCCACCTCAACCAGAGCATGCATCAGCAGATGCGTGCTTCAATCTTTCACATGCTTGTGTTCTATGTCAGAGGGAAGCACCCGTTGGCAAGCTTTTTGGAGACAGCTGCGTCGAGCCACACGACCTGCGGTCAGAGGCAACCTGGATGCAACAGGCACCGAGAGCAGAAGGTCAAAGAGGTGTCCTGGCATCCAGGCAGTGGTTGGGGTCGCCATCTTGGGCGACTACCGCCTGACTAGATATAATGTGTGTGTGTGTGTGCCACTTCAAACAGATGGCAGAAATGCAAATAGCATGTGCAACATCTAGAATCTACGTGAGCGACTGGATCGTCGAATCTGGAGCTACCCCACTGTGCTAGAATACACAGTGCATGCAAAAGTACATGCGGAACAGAAGGAAGCAGAAACAGCTGCAAATCAATCCTTCGAATCGGCAGGGACCTCTGCCGTCCGCAACATGTTTGGTGGATAGCACCATAAGCCTTTTACCGCCGCAATCTCCGTTCGGTGCCAGACCACTGCAGAAGGTCGACCCAGCGGCTGCCGTTCAGGAAGCGGAGCTCGCTGCTCCACTCCAGGCCTGCGATGTCGCTCAGAAGACTCGGGTTGGGCAGAGGGTGACCATCAGTCTTGTTCGGCGGAAGAAATCATCCACGACTCTCCCAGGAAATTTATTCCTTCTCCGAGCTCTCGCCCTCAATGCCACTTTGCAATTGCTCCGGTAGAATCGGTGCTTGCGCTTTACCGTGTTCAGGCTTGGGAGTCGGCTGGTGGGCTTCTGCGAAAAGTGCGCCGACCGAGGTCGTTCTTGCTTGGTGCATGGTCGTGCGGCCCAGGACTGGCTGTGCCCTCTCACCAGTGCACGACTCACTCAAGCAATGTAAATAGTCTGCAATTTCGTGGATGTCGGTGCGGAATCCAAGCAGATTGCTGGGTAATACCCTGCCACTTTTTGCAGCCAGAAGTTTGCCGAAACACTCCAACACGTGCTATCCACCTAGAGTTTCGAAAGATTCAACATGGCTTGAGGTCAGACTGTGACACACCAAAGACATGACACTTTGAAGCTTGAAGAATGGACTTCTCGCTTGGCAAGGGATGGCTTCAACGAGGCCTGGAATACACAGGACTTGTAAAAAGCAGGAAGCCTGTGTGGTTGCGGAAGCTCTCCGCGAAAGCAACGAGGCCTCGTGCCCAAGCCACGCAGGCACACCGGGGCTTGGTTGAAAAGCCCGGGGCGCAAGCCATGCACACGGACTTCGTGTATCGATCCAGGCAGAAGTCGCTAAGGCTTGGGCAATAAGCGCCTCGCCACTCGGCTCGTTGCTGTCTTAGCAAGCGGCCGAGCCTTCGAGCACAACTTTTAATTGTCACAAGTTCACAACATCGTCGGTGATCAAGCCTGCTGTACGTCTCTGCTGCCTCTGGAAGTCCAGAAACCGGGTCCTCACCAAGCTTTCTTTCTTCAAGATTCTGCAGACAAATCTTGAGAAGACAGGCTCTCCTGCTTGCCACCTGATGCGATGCCGAAGGGCACATTGGTCACAATCCTCAAATCAGTGTGGGCCGAGTTGAATGCCTAAACGCACAGCACGTGCTTCTGACACATCGCAGGCCGAGCCGCAAAGTAGGCCGACCTCGTCAAGACTCAACGGTGAGCTGCCGCCTGCTGAGCTTCCGGCTCGTGTGCCCAGGCCTTGCAGCATCTGCACCACCTTCGAAATCGAGCCCTGCGTCAGAAAGCGAAAGCCGCATCAAGCTCTTGCTTTCATGAGCAGTACAGCTGGGCAAGAATCTAGCAAGCAGGGAAGCATCTCCTGGCACCGTGCGGACCCGTCTTCGGTACTGCTGGGCAATAAGAACAGGAGAAGCCAACCTCCCCAGCCCTTGGCTTCAATCCGATCCCCAAACCCCAGTGACATACACAGGGGAACATGCGTCTATGGTTTCCCCAATAGGTCATTTTTCTTTAACCCTAAGCTCAAAAAACCCTGCTGCGAGGCCTGCACAAGTTGCACTTTGCACGGAACGCGCTCCGCGAGGCTCTCGAGGTCCGCCTTGCCGGCCTCATATGCTTCCCGTGAAGGAGAGGGATGCTGCTGTGATTCTACCACTCCTCCGGCTGCTCCGGCGCTGCGGATGATAACGCTGCTGCTGCTCCGGCTGCTAGCACTGCTGCTACATTACTATTACGGTTTCCGCGACGACGACTGCTGACTACTGCTGCTACTGCTATTTACTACTACTATGCGATGCGATGATGATAATCACGATTCACCGTGCCTTGACCGGCTCATTCTCCGGCAGCTGCACGCGTCGCAACGAGCGCCGCAGGTTGGCTCGTGCACGGCCAATTTGCTCCTGTGCACTCGGGTTGCATCTCAGCTTTACGGTGTAAGGTTAGGATTCAGCGTTTCGGATTTGTTGTTGATCGGCTGAAACCTGCTGATGAAAGGCCTGCTGAGAATCCCCGTAGTACCTGACCTTCCGCTTACCAGCCTCCCATTCCACCAACAGACCTGCTGTGGTCGCGATGAAACGAAAAGCAACGACATACGCTTTGATTCAGCGCTGTTAGGACATGGGGCCATGCACCACGTCCAAGTGGCCACTGCTAATAGCTTCAGACACACACAATCACACACACACGCACACACATATATATATATATACATATACATACATATATATATACACACGCATATATACACATACTCTTTTGAACAGCTGATCTCGCTTCATCTCGAACAGATTTCGAGCGCGCAGCATCTTGACAACACACCTTCGGCTTGAATCTCCTGCGAGTTGTCGCTGCCCAGCAACCTCGACTTCGGCATTTAGTCGTGGTAGCCGTTGACACTGGTTATGCTTTCATGAAGCTACGAATCAGTTACAAAGAAAAGCCAGCAGCAGACGAAGCATCTGTTGCCAGTTGCGCTCCCCTGCCATCAACTGCAGCAAGTGGCGTTAGCTTTGAAGCTGCTGGGTGCGGATGCACTTGCAGTGACTTCGCAAAGTCCTCAAAGGCCTCCGACAAGCAACACCGTGACAAGAAGTCGTCTACGTTATCACCATCGAAGGCCTGCGAGGAATGTGAAGGGAAGGATTTGAAGGGGTAGTACTTCAAGTGGTTCCCAGACAGCTGATCCAACACCATCCCCATGGCTTCTACCAGGATGGCCTTGGCAGGAGCTCGCGGTAACAAACATGAGAAGCCGCAAAGCGATAGCAGTGGTAACAAGACTGCTAACCATAACAATAATAACAATAGTGATGGCGAGAAGAACAAGAAGAGCAATAGTGATAGTTGTGCTTGTCTTATATTTCCTTCTATAATGATGAGATGCCACATTGCCAACTCGTGCATTTAATCAATGCAGCAGAAAATGCCGACAGCGAGCCCCGGAACCGCAGAATGGATCCCAAAGGACCAACTCCTCGTCGTTGTGGACAGCAGCGCTCAAGCGTCTTTGCAGCGGTGTCGCCTGGACCTTTCCGCAAAAACCATGCAAGCACTGCACGTGTCTATGGTTTTCTGGTCTCGGGAAGAAGCACACGCAGGCGCTACTCGATGCTCCAAAGACCGTGCCGGTGCTCCCTAACTGATACTTACTGACTCCGTTGTTTCACCACGCGACGCAGGCAGCTGCCAAGGTCTCCCGCAGCGAGGCATCCCCAACTGCCTGCAATGACTTCCGTTCGGACTTCTGCACCTAAACATCGGCATAACAGTGACGGGCTAGAGGCAGAATTTTGAAACCATCAGGCTGTTGCAACAGGCACATGGATACCTGCACACTTGCTCCAAGCTAACATCTATAACATCTGCACATTCAAGCAAACTCCCGAATATCGAATGGAGCGACCATCGGTATCCGCGGTTGTGCTCTTCACGCTTCTGGCTTGGGCTTTGGATACTCGATCACTCACCGTCGTCTTGGATGACAGTAAGGAGCCCTTGCCACGCATGCTGGGGAATCTCTAGCCAGATAGCGTGGGCCTTGCGGTGCCCTCGCTTGTGCAGAAGTCCGGAGGCTGCCACGCTCACCTGCTGAAGTGCAGGAGCGTCTCCCTTCATTTCCGAAACAACTGTTGACATCTACGACCCGGGTTTTTGGAAGTCTTGTGCCTGACACTCATCGTGCCGTAGCCGGACTCTCACCTCTGGCGGCACGCTGGGAGCTGGAACTTCGGAGCAAGCCTGACATCATCGGCTCTGCGGTGAGGATGAAGGAGCAAATGCGACAGTAACCGGCCAACTGTGCTTCTTCTCCCTCGAGCCTATCTTCTACCATTCCTGCTGTTCCTGCTAGCTACTGCACCCGGCCGCTGTGCAGACTAGACTAGACACTCCTGAGATAAAATGGAGCAGGGTCGCTGAAGAGCCCAAGCCCGTCAGGATGGACTCGGCGACCCGATCTTGAACCAGGCGAGTGTGGTAGAGCCGTGACTTCTCCTCACGTATGAATGGGGCGCAGTACGATCATTATGCCCATCTTGTGACATCGGATGACTTCCGGTCGAGCGTCTGAGGAGACCTTGATGACCGGCGCGCCGGCTCGACCTCGTGAACGAGCCGTGGAGGCAGAGTCTCTGACGCCCGCCCCGAGGCGACCCTCACACGATGAGCAACCAAGCGTCACCCTAGTAAGGGGCTCAGGACCTCCTCCGTCTCAACCGAGGCTGAACGGCCAAGGGCATCCTTCGGAGGTCTTCATGACATTTGGCCAAAGCACCATCACTGCCCTTGGCATCCTACCGCTACCGGTCCTTGCTGAGAGTGAGATACTGGTCCCAAGGTAGTCTTCGAAGTCCCTTCTCCAAGGAGCGCCTCAGCGACAGACACGAAGCATGTCGACCTGGAGATCCAAGCAAAGCCTGCGATGGTTTGCTCCAAGTCAAGGGCACATCTGGTGCATGGAAGGGTTCCCCGACATGCACCAACACAGATTCGGCCACTCGGCTTTGCAGCACTGCACGCCAAAGCGTTTCTGTCGTGCCATGGACAGCAAGTCCTTCCGCTTCGTGCCGTCTCTCCGAAAGCAGCGATGCGAAACCAACAGGGAACGGCCTCCTGCCATTGTCTCGAAGCGCCCAGGTACGCCAAGCACCTGCAACTCGCGCTCCAAACCTTTGGTGCAGCAAGGCAGAAACAGGATCAACACGCAGACAAGCTCAAGACTGACAATGACATCAACGCAGGCTGGCTGCTACGTTCCAAGCCAGGCGATGTCACCAAAAACAGTCGGCGAAGCGCCTCTCTGCGACATCTCTCGAAGGGAGAGAGTGCGAGGCGTGTTTTTTTTCATGCAAACCAGGCGGCCAGGCCTGGTGGGCACTGGAGGATGTAGGAGAGGCAAACATGGGCCATGGGCCGTGGGCCACGGATCTTTCGGGGAGAAACCAGGGGCAACAAGCGCCAGCAAATTTAGGAACATAAGCACAGTTTAAGCTTTAAGGTATTGCAAAACAGCTGCTGCAAGAATAGGAACAAGCGACATGAATATTGAGGACGGCGATTCCTTTCTTCGACGAACTTTGAAACAAAGCATGAATATCTACTTCATGCGTGCCGACTGTTCTCCAGCTTGCAGCTAGCTCGAACAAGGAGCAAAACCAGTGCATCCAGTGCGCCGTGCACTCTCACTACGTTCAAGCAATGTAACGTTATAACCCTGCTTTCGTGGTAAATTCTGGGTTTGGGAACTTCGGGATCCAATCTGTCATCTATTTGTGCTTTGAATCTGTGATCAGCTGCTTCGGCGTTTTCCAGTCTGTGGTTTATTCGGGCTTTACCTGTGATTCATCTGTCATTGCACGCCAACATGTACCCAAAACGCCGGCTCCCGGGGTTCGGCCCTGAGCCAAGGGGGCCCCTGGACATTTGTCACCTTCGCAGCCATCCCACTGATAGGCCTGAGTGACGTACTATGAAGTCCGCAAAGCTCGGGCCCCACGATTTTTCATCGCCAGCGTCCGAGAGGCGATGGGTCTAACAAGGGCAGAAGTGGCCACAGGTCGTTCTTCGAGCAGCAGTGGCACATCTTCTGCCAGTGTCGGGCGGAGAGCAACCCGAAACATCGCAAAGAGCTGCTCCCCACGACCACTCGTCCTTCTAAAGGCCGGTTTTTTGTTGAGGATGAAGCGGCCACATCGGGCTGCGTCCTCAGCCGAGGCTCCGGCACATCCAAATCCAATGCAGGTGCGTTGTCTTGTCACGTTGCGCGAATTTCAGAAGTGAAACGAAATAAACACCGGGCTCAACATCGCCAGGATTTGCAGAGGATCCAACGACAAATAACATCGTCCACATGGCATGAGCATGGACTGCATGATGATGCGAGCCTGAAATGGCAATGTACTCGCCTGGGAGTCGCTCATTCATCACTACCACCAACGCAGCCAGTGGTCAGATTCCACCTTACGAATATCAAGGAGATGTGCGGATCTGCGAACAAATGCAATTCAAACCTACTTGTAGCCAATGAAAACGAACCAAGCGCTGAGCAAATGATACGGGCAAACCTTCGCGTAGTAGACCTGATTCTGGAGCAACAGCAGCATGGGTGAGATTTTGAACACGGACGCGGCCTTGAGGAATGACCAGAAGACAAACGACCTCTTGCAGAACTCATATCACGTGGATGAGCATGCTCAGCTCCTTGACACGCCGGGACCCTGACATCACCATCACCGACATCCAGGCGCCCCCAACACCGAGGCGACAGGAAGCCTGGAGCCAATTGGAATGCTGGATGAACTGCTTTAGGGCATCCGTGTATCGATACCTTCTGTAGACGTATCCGCGCATGAGCTATGGCTCGCACCCGCCAACATCGCAAAGCTGCTTGCGCGGCAGAGATGACCATGCTGATGAGGAGCTGAACAGATCAGTGGAATCAGAAAGCAGCAGTCGCTCAAGCTGACACCTCATGAATATAAGCACAGGGATCTGCTCGGGTTGGATCGGTGGGTCCATGAACCAAGCGAGCCTTGCCTTGACTGTCGCCAGGCTCATGTCATTAAAGCTGTCCTGGTATGTCAGAGCCTTAGCACAGCACAAGCGCTTGGATGCCTCGCTAGCAGACCGCTCAGATCGGCTAAGAGCGTGTCAACGAACGATCCCTGCAACCACAACGCCATGACATTTCCGACGAGCACCTTCAGCACAGCAATCTTCACCGGCGCTGATATGCTGGGTGCAACGGCATCTCGGCATCTCGTTCCACCCGCAAGATCACCAGATTACTAATGCTGATTGTGCGAACTACTTCGTTCCCAAATCCGTGAAGCTGAAGATGAGCATCGAACCCAGAGCAAGCTGCCAGCCTTCGAAAGCAGCACCAGGGCGACATGGGACTCCTCCTCCTCTTGAACTCTCTCCTGGTCGCCCGCACCCCACAGCTTAATCTCTTCCTGGCCAGAGCCGTAGCCTCCTCTTGGACCGCGTGAAGCTCGCTTTGTTGGAGATCACGCGAAGTCTCAGACCGTCGAAAGGCCCGCAGCGTGCCATCTGTCAACACTTCGCAAGGGATATCTCCGAGCACTCGACCACTTTGCCAAACTCGTAATCCTCACGGGCCTACAAGACGCTGGCAGCGGCTCAAGCTTTTGACAACAGTGACATGCTTCGTGTGCCTGCGTGGCTCTGGCAGTCACGCTCAACTTCGTTGTGTCGAAGACCCATCTCTTTTGCAATGCCATCTCCTGTGGCTTCACTCTAGTGCTGTGTAGCACCAAAGTCATGCTAGACTTGCAGCAACTCTGAACTCTTAATTTTCTGAACGCTGGCCACTTGAAGCGATTTTGGGAGCAGCACGCTCACCAAGCTAGCATTGAAATCGCAGTCATGCATAGCTTCGAGAAATCTTTGGGGCCAGACGAGACCATGAGCTTCATTCGACGTCCCCTCTCACGGACTCGCCACCCTGTTCTCGAGCAGATCCAATCGCGCCACGCAGTTTGTCTAAAACTTTAGCTATGAGAGGTCGTCATCATCGGAGATGTAGTCGCTGCCGTCTTCGCCATCCTTCTCTGTCCGATGGCCCAACCTCACCGCCCCGCTGACCCATCGCAAGCAAAGAGTGTAAGTCTTAGCAAAAACGGAAGCTGCAGCTAACTGCCACCATGCAGCATGTGACCACCACAAAGAGCAGCTGCCAG